AAAAAAACGAAAAGGCAATCACCAATCAAAACTCCCAGGCATACACCTCCCTCCCCCCGTAAGCCCGGCACCGTCCCCATCCTTCCGACCCTCCTCCTTCTTCTTCTCCACAGCACCCTCCCCCCAACGCTCCCTCCAACACGCCAATTCCTCTCTCCACAGATCAGTCACGCACGGATCACACGAGCTGCCACAGCACTCACCCAGCCCCGGCGGCGGCGGCGGATCATCATGGCCGCGGTCCGCAGCGCGGATAAGCTGCTTTGTGCGCGTGCCTGTCAGTCTCTTTGCCTTCTTGATCCGCGGCACTTCTGCGGGCTTATAGAGGGGTTCTGGTGCTGGTGTGGGGAGAGAGGATATGGGGGATGTGAAGGAGGCGATTAGGTGGGCTGTGAAGCTTTTTTGGGGGGGTTCTTGGTGCTGCGGTGTTGGGTGGCTTGTTGTCGTTGTCGTTGTTGTTGTTGTTGTCATTTTGGTCAGGAGAGATCTAGATCTGGGGGATTGATTTTTGATATGGTTTGTGTGTGCTTCACTGCTCTGGCAGTTTGGGGGTTATAGATGTCTAGATGTCTACTGGATGGGGGGAAATGTGCATGCCGAGGATTATCGTGCAGGGAAGAATTATATCCCGCTTTATTTTCGTGCCGATTAGAATGATTAGAATAGTTGTCGGGAGGGGGGAGGGTTTAGTTTGGACATTGTTACAAGGAGTGGTGTGGGATGTCGGTTTGGACGGCGGATATATCGTCCCCTCCTAATCGCTGGAGAATTTGTCGACAATCGACCGGCGGTATTGCTGTCTTTCCCAGACGGAGAAATGGGAAGTAGGGTTCAGACTGCGGACTTTTGTTGAAGAAGGAATCCCGAGAGCGTCACATGAGGACCATCCTCGCCCGATATCGGTCACGTGATCGGTCCTCTTCAGAGCCCCCAAAGGACACGACCATCCAAGGGGGGGGAAAAAAACCAGAAGAAAAGCTAAGTGAGGTTCTAGATGCCATACATGATTCACCAGTCCCAGCAAACCCCTTACCGCAGTTGTTGTTGTTGTCCGAAAGACAAAGCTCGAAGAAATGAAAGCGATCATCACAGGGATCGAAAGAAGCGACGAGTGGACCTGCGTCAATGGGCAAAGTATCATGGGACAAGGACCAGAGCCCCTTGGCGCAGCTCTAGTCCGTCATTAGCTCCTGCGCTTCTACCGAGGATCTTGGAGCTATCACGGACATGGTCTGAGCTGTCAGGGCCAACCATTGTTGGGTAGTAGCCGCGAAAGGAAGAAAAAAAATTTTCGTCATGCATGAATGAATGCAATGGTGTGCTGCAGGTGGCTTTTCGTGTGACTTTATTATGACTATTGAGAGAAAAATCCAAATGAAAAATGAAAATTTTTCTCACCAGCGCCTGCTCAATCACCACTCATTTCCGGTCCGCCTCATCTTTTGCTGGTGAGCGGTGACGTTCACGATCCCGGATCGAGATCCACAACGGCACAACCAGTTGTCAACCCTTTCTTGCACTCTCTGAGGCTGATGTTTCAGTGATGTTAGGTCGGGTCAGGTCTTCCTGGGTTTTTGTGACTACGCCCTGGCGTGGAGGCTGTGTTTCATAATCATTCTCCTACTACCTGGCTTTTTTTGAGTTTTTTGAGTTCTCGCTTGGTTTCTTTGTTCGCCTGCCTTGGTAGTCTCACATTCTTGTCGACTGATATAGCTGATGGAGACGGGTCAAGGGCAAATTGCCCCTGCCACCGCCAGTTATGGCCAACGTGGCCGGGGAAGCTTCTTTTCCCGTTATCCACCGGGAAAATGGCCATCTGTGAGCGGTGTACCTCTCAATTTGATCTCTACGGCTGGAGAGAGCTCACCAGCAAAGCTTTCTCCAGATTTGTTAGCTTCTAGCTCGAATAGCTTGTTCTTTCGTAGGAAGGCAAAAAGGCCACGGGGACCGATTGCTGCTTGTGGGAAGGAAGGGGGGGAAGGAGAGACGAGAGCAGTCCCCAATTGCCGTCGTCTCTTCGTTTTTGACACACGTCCTCGGGACGAAAAAGTCCGGGGTAAAACACAAGAGAACACGTATTCCGTGGGCCAGCCCAAGTAGGGGGAAACCAAAAGTAATATACAAGGTCGCAAATTATCGAGTTAAAGTGAGTTTATCAAAGTGGCTCGAAAGTTGGGAGTTTTAGTGGCCATTTTAAACTCTATATGTACAGTGTATTGGGATGATAGATGATGCCGGGAAAGTAGTACATGATATATAAAAAGACCACCACAAGATTACCTCCTAACTGAACGGCGAAATCGATAAAGACTCTCCATTCAATTTGACCATTTGAGAATTCAAGGAAATTGCATTTGCCTCATATGCCCTTTCGGATAAATTGGTTCTCGCCAACGATCCGCTTAAACGTACTTGCACATCATAGCAACCATCAGGTCGAACAGACCAATGGCTTCGACGAAGGCGAAACCAAGAATGGCGTAGGAGAAGAGCTGGCCACGGAGGGCAGGGTTGCGGGAGACACCGAGGAGGAGGGCACCGAAGACGAGACCGATACCGATACCGGCACCACCGAGACCGATGGCGGCGGAACCCATACCCATGTTCTGGGAGACCTGGACCATGGCGTCGGCGATCTCAGAGGAGTACTGGCGGCGGGCCTGGACGTTGGCGAAGACCTGGCGAGCGTTGGCCTGGATCATGGAAGGCTGCTGGCGCTTGACGGTCTGGAAGGGGGTCATGGGGATAGCGGTCTTGCGCTGGGTGGTGAAGGTACGCTTGGGGGCAGCGAAGCGGGCGGCCGGGCGGGCAACCTTGGTGGTTGCGGCCATCTGGGAGGCCAGGCGAGAGGCAAAGACACGAGAGGAGGCCATTGTGATGGTAATTTGGAGGATGATTTTTCTCTGGTGAGAGGAGAGAAGGTGGAAAAGAATGGGTAGACAGAACTTTTTAGGAGGGAAAAAAGCTGGAGAAGTTGACAACAGAGGCCTTCCGGGACATAAATACTCTCCCGCTAAATTTTCGCTCGTTTTCCCACACACCCGGCCCCCCGTCGGTCTTAGTGCGCTGTTGGGAAAAAGCCCTACTGCGTGTATATCCCTATCTTTCCACGCACATCCTTTGTTGCCCAGGGATGCCTCTGACTGATCGGGTTCGTTCGGGAGGGGGCCAAGGGAGGATTCCTGTGGTACAGCCAATTATTCCTGCTGCTGGGTTGGCCGCGCAGGTCCGCGGATGGAGCTGGATGTGCTGTTCGACGAGTCTCCGTTGCGGTTGTGCGAAACTGGCATCCACTGGAAGCTCCATCCGGACCCATTGGTATCTTACGCCAATTGCCATGGCAATTCCTTTTTGGTTGACCCCATTTTTTTGGGGTGTCGGTCTTTTTCCTACCAAGTACAAATACCCTACGATGTACCCTATTCCCCATCCCCATCCCCCAAGTAACAGTTGCCCGGCTACAAGAAAAGAAAAAAAAAAAAAAAAAAGGCTACGGTATGCTTCAGGAGAGGCGAAAAAAGGGCAGAGAAATTTCAGCAAGAGTGGATCCCTGCATTCACGGATGGGTCCGATGGACCGGTTCGGATCCACATGGCGCACCGCAATCAACCAATGCCAACCTGCAGCCGGCAAGCTAATTTCTGGTCTTTTTCTCGGACTCGAATCAACCGGGCCGAATCGGGCATGCGGCTCCACCAGCACCGGAGTTTCCCAAACAAAAATAAAACCATAACAAGTGAGGCGTCTCAGAAAAAAAAAATAAAAATAAAAATAAAAAATGAAAGCAGGATTCTTGGTGACGCTCATGGTTGACCCGAGGGAAGACAGAGCCAATGACTTCGGGTAGAAGGAAATTCGTCTCTGCAATTGCTTGTTGATGGTCATCCCGGGTAGCAGTGGTTATAAAAGCAGAGTCAACTGGCACCCAGCCCTTTTCTTTTTTTTCCACGGAGAGCAAACTCGAACTGCCCGAACTAGGGAAACACTAGTCCGGATCTCTGAGGATAAGATGAGCTCACCGACTCTCCTAATGGGATCCATTCTCCCGTTTTAGGACAACCCGCCACGCTTGGTCGGTTCAGGGCAACCAGACAAGAATGCTGACGGCGGGCTCCTTTGCAACCACGCACCCATTTTTCCTCCTGGAGGACTCATTCCCTTCCGAGGGTAGTGTCCAGGTTATATAGGTTTGGATACATCAGAGAAATCCTTTCTGGGGAGAACCCGACTTGGACGAAAATGACCCGTCGGTGGACGACCCGAAAAATTATTGTGCTCGTCAGCACTAATCAAACAAATTTTAATCTCACCCTGGGATTGAAGAGCCAAGCATGGAAAATCAAATAAAATAAAATAAAATAAAATAAAACCGGAAAGCGACAGGTCTCATATAACTGCCTCCCCTTGATCCCCGTTCCTAGTATTTCTTTTTTATTTTTCTCTTTTCCCTATCTCGACAATTGATCTGTTCCGCCTCCCCTTATAAATACTTCTCCCAGAAACCCTGGATTCCATCCCTTGTCTCTTTCGTGGATGAAGGGGAAACAACCCATGTTATGGGCGATCTCAGCCTCCCTGCACCATTACGTAACCCTGAATTAATCTATCTGGCATGCCGGATGTAGCAGGGATCGCAGCAGATGAACAGGTTCGAAGCCTGCAGTCGAATCTTGGTCGAACTTAAGCTTGCGTTTAACGGTTGCAGGGAAGTCCCTGTGACTCGCCGAAATTTCCCGCGTTTCCTCCGATTTTCGGTCTCGCGCAACTTCTGAGAATCCGATGACATGACACATGACACATAGCGCGTAGCTGTACGGGATAGTTCGACGTGGATTGAATTATGTGATAGTCAGCAGTCAGCAGTCAGCAAGAGACTGGACGAAATTACCTAAGGCTTTCGTTGGTGTATTGGGGAAGGGAGACATCTTTCGAGGGTGGTGATCTCAGGGCCAGCAATTCCCGTGATAGCCGAGTTGCCGTTGTCGCAGCCTGAGGCATCAGAGCATCGTGGTTGGTTTGCCTCGGCTAGATAGCTTAGGGACGACGAGGGAATCACATTGAGGTTCGTATCCAGTGGTAGACAGCGAATATGAGGGTGATTCAAGTGGCATTGTCGATGTCAGTATATTCTTTGGTGTGAACCACTGTATGGGATACAATGGAAGCGATAATAGCTCCTCGTGGTGGTCCAGATATTGTCTCAAGAGCTTTGGGGTGGAATATATATATTGAGCCTACACTAGGGTAGCTCCTCATACAACACGTAACGCCGTACAATACTTAACGCACTTCTCTTACAACGAGCATGACTTTTTTACAAAGCTACTGACCCATGAATAACCTTCTATATAACTATCCCAACCAAATAAAAGCACGGTTGTCATGAACGAGGGCAAGCTTTTACCCCGGGGGAAGTTTCCACTTTTGCAATGCTATCTTTAGCGCTACTTAAATTACCCGTTTCGATTTACCCACCATTCCCGTTCCATCCGCCGCGCTAGTCCCGATTGGGATCCGCCGCGCTTGTACTCTCAACAACATCAGTAGAACTCGTGATAGCTGCTGAAGTATTCGACATATGGCTTGTAGACTAACACGATACTGTATCACGGATTCAGCATATTATACACGCACTGGAGACTATCTGTTTTGTCCTGGAGTGAACCTCTACGCATATCAACGTCCACCCATCACAGACAGAGTCGTGTCCTGGGAAGGGACGTCGGTGTGAAGTGGATATATGGATGCTCTCTAGTTTACACAAGGGTGGTTCTAACAGAATTGATATAACCGCTGTTGTTTACTGGTTTCTACATAGTCGTGAGAAAGTATCGTCTTTTCCTATTTGGGGTATATGTTTGATCTTGCGGGTGGAGCTTGGATGCTGTTTTAATCTGGTGTTTTAGGGCTCATAGTTGGTGATGGATGTATAGTTTGCGATGCCTTGTCAACACCAGAGCACGCTGTAGTGTATTAGTGTAATGGTCTCCATGCATAGAGGGGAACATGATCAATGGCAAGCACTTCAACCACTACAGTCAAGACTCATGCAGTGTCCACCTCGCTCCCTTTCGGCGCTTTCGTTCCATACTCCAAAACCACCCGCACGTCCTTCCCCGGTTCTAAGTGTAGCACCCATTTAACCTCTCCCTTCTTCTCCATGACGGCCTTTCCGCTTCCGTGGCTCGCTTCCATGTCCAGCTTCACTTCATTGCCCTTTTCATGCAACCCCTTTGGCTCCAGGATCTCCACCTGCAGCTCCTTGTCCTCGCTCACCGGCACCTGATCCAATACAGTGATGTCCGCAGCCACGCCCTTGGTATTCTTGATCCAGCACGTGCGTCGGAACACAGCCCCGACCTGTCCGGTGAAGAACCCGGTGTTCAACCGTCGCACCGTTGGTTTACCATAGGTCACCAGGATCGAGGGATCAACGCCCAAGGAGACACTGAAGAAATCGCCCGGCGCACAGTTCGGGATCGTGGCCGTGCCAAGGAATGTTCCATCAACCGTCAAACCCACTCTGCCGCGCATAATCCGCAACGACGAGGTGTTCTTGATCCGTGCGCGGTAAAACGCTTCGGCGCTGTGTTTCGGGACAATGATATGCGAAAGGGTGACGGACTCCAGGTCGAGATCGGCCAGCACATGGCGTCTGTTGTTGCTCGAGGGGGTAAGCGTCCGCTGACCGGGAAGATCGTAGGTTGTTGTGAGTCCATAGTCTTGCTTGACAGATTCTTGGTGTTCGAGGGACGTGGAAGCTACGGTGTCGATGTCGTTGTCGGGCTCGTCTTCACTACCCTCGTAGTCCTCGCCGTGCGCGTGGTCAATGGGATTTGGCTCTTGCTCGGAAGGGTTCTGGGCTGGTACTGCAGCTGCAGCTCTCCCAAACAAGGGCCCCCCAGATCCGAAAAGACCTCCAGATGACCCCTTCTGGGTATGACCCGATGCTTCCCCTGTATCGCCCGTTTGATTTGATGCAGGTGCAGCTGGAGCCAGCCCCCCAAAAAGGCCCCGGGACGAGCTAGGTTGGTTCTGGTTTGGCGGCGACCCAAAAGCACTCGCTGTAGATGGCTGCGCTGCACTAAAGGGAGACCCTGTCGAGTTCTGACTCTGGGTCGGTGCAGCCCCAAAAGGATTTGCAGACGCTGGTTTGAACTGTGCGAATCCAAAACCCTGCTGAGGTTGCGTTGTAGCCATTCCGAACTGGCTGGTCCCCGAGGGACGAGTTCCAAACAGCCCACTGGTTTTCACAACCTGCATTTCCCATTAGATCATCAGCTTCTCCCGACAAAACTCGCACAATATCAGGGCCCATCACTTACAGATCGATTCGCATACCCACCCCTCAGAATCTTCTCCCAAGAAGGATGCTCCTGATTCTCCCGAATGGCATCCAGCAACTTAATATGCCAAGGGTGCAACGAGGGGATGCGCTGTTCCAACCCAGAAAACGACGCCTGCGACGTGGACAGCGTCACCCGCGCATCCGTCCACGTCTCCGAGCTCGAGTTCCGGAACTCAGCGCGGTACGCCATGCGCGCCGACGACGAAGGCGTGTTGATGCGCAGCTCATAGCGCGAGCTCCAGCTCACGCCGGGTACCACATAGCTCAGCCGCAAGACGACATCGACGGGCTCCAACATGATCTCCGACCGGTCTACGACAGAACTGCGCCGACTCGACCCCGGCGTGAACCCGGCCTGACTATCCAGATGCACCACCACCTGGCCCACGCGCCCCGTCCAGAACTTGAACCTCTCGTCTCTCTTCATCCTCCGCTGCTCCGCCCTCCTGGCGCGCTCTGTCGCCCTCTTCTCCCTCTCCCTCCGCTCCTTCTTCGACGCAGCCTCCCGGGCCTTCCTCAACCGCCCCTCCACCTTCCCCCGCTTCTTCCCCAGCCTCGCCAGCTCCCTCTCCCCCTCCCCAACCTCCACCCCGGCCTGATGACACCGCTGATTCCCCACCGTGCGCTGCCGCGTATACAGCGCCAAGAACCCCTCCAGCGCCTCCGCCCCGGTACTCTCGGGGTCCATCTTCCGCGCATACTCATCCAGAATCTCCAGCATGGAGAGCGCCATCGCGCGTTCATTGCGCGCCTTCGCAAGCCGCGTCTCCACGTCCGCTATCTCGTCCGAGATAGCCCGTAGCTCGGGGTCGTCATCGTCGTCATCGCCTGAGTCGGAGTCGGGGTCTGCCGAGTCATCGGAGTCTGATTCAAGAGGGTAGATGTCCTCGAATTTCTCTTGTCGGGGTACTATCGATGTCTGGATGTCGGTGATTGTGGCGAGCCCTGTTCCTTCGATGAGGAGTGAGTCGCTGTTCACTTGTGGGTCGAGACCGGTGATTTTGAGTTCATGTTGGCCTGGCTTTTTTATTTTAGTTTTTGATTATGTTGATTTATGTGTTTGTTTGGGGGTTGAATGGAGGGTGGTATGTATGTATGGATGGATGGATGTACCTGGATTGAGGTGCGTATCTCGCGAACGATGGTTGCGCGCTGCGGGGTGATTGTGACGGATTTGGTCGGGAGGTCTGTGATTTGGATTGTCGAGGTCGGGATTTCCGCCATTTTTTTTTCTCTTTTCTTTTGGGATTGTTTTGTTTTACTTGGGATGGTTTGGTTGACTGGGTGGATACGAGCTTTAAGTAGATTTTGGGTAGACTGATCTCAGTCTCGTGGCGCTAGTTTATCCTTGGTGGGGGGCCTTACACCAACGGGCGATGGTTATTGGGGGGGGTGAGAGTTGGGACTAAAACATTCCGTATCAATTGCTATGTATGCTATGTGTAGCCACTCGCTCTAAAATGAATGAATGGGATGAGAGGTTAGCCCGTGTAGTATCTACTCCTCCAAGTCCTTCTTCGTCCACTGGTGTAGCAGCACCTGCGCTTGTCGGTTCTTCTCCTGGTAGAGCTTCCGGGCCAGTTGCTTGTACAAGAAGACGCCGCCGCCATTGTAACTGATGCCGTGGTCCGAGTCTGTGAACCATTGGGAATGGAGCTTCTCCGGCGAGACGCCATCGCCCATGAGGAGATCCACCAGCGCAGCCGAGTTCTGGAAGTGCACGTTATCGTCGCCCGTGCCGTGCTGGATCAAGAATCCGCCCTCGACGTTCTTGAACCCGTCTGTGTTGCGGACGGCGCTGGTCGTGTAGCCCTCCTCGTTGGTCGAGAGCGTCTTCATGTAGCGCTCCGTGTACATCGAGTCGTAGAAGCGCCAGTCGGAGACAGGGGCAGTGATGACTCCCAGGGTGAAGGCATCACTGTCCTTCTCCAGGACCTTGCTGGTCAAGTAGCCGCCGAAACTCCAGCCCCAGATGCCGATGTGGTCTGCGTCGATCCAGGGGATGTTCGCGGCCTGTTGGGCCGCGTAGATCTGGTCTTCTGCTTCGAGGAGGCCGAGCTGGCCGGTCACGGCGGAGCGGAACTTGCGTCCCTTGAAACCTGTGCCGCGGTTGTCGACGGTCCAGGTGACGTATTCAAGCTCGCTGTCGGAGGCCACGTAGGCCTTGAAGTTTAGGGCTTGCCATCTCTTGGTTACTTCTTGGGCGCCTGGGCCGCCGTATGGGGTGAAGAGAATGGGGTACTTCTTATCTGGGGAGAACCCGGGGGGTAGGCGCTGCATGACGTTGAGGGTTTCTCCGGAGGGGAGGGGGAGTTCGAAGTAGGTGATGTTGGGCAAGGCGTAGTCCTTGATTTGCTCAAGTACTTTAGCGTTGTCGGTGATGGTACGGAGCGGTTTGGTACTGTTGGTCGTGTAGAGTTCCTGGTAGGGTACGTCTGGGCCTCCGTATGTGAGGATGTAGTAGCCCGAGTTCGCGGAGAAGGAAGCCGACCAGTACGCGGCGACGGTGTCGTCGACTAGGGAGGTGACCTCAAATGTGGAGTAGGAGACGGAGTAGAGATGGCGCTCGGTGCTGTGGTGTTGAGTCGACAGGTAGTACACCAATTGGCGCTCCTGGTCAATACTCAGGATAGATGTGACCTCCCATTCGCCTTTGGTCAATGGGATAGGTTTGCCGCCCGAGACGGGGAAAAGATAGAGATGCGCCCACCCCGAATGGTCGGAGATGTCAATGTAGTAGGCCGCCTTGTCGGACGGCTTGATAGAGCCGATATAATTTATGGATAGGAGGTTATCAAGCCATCCATCTGTTCCATCCCGGTCGCTGATGACGGTAGCCTTGTTCGAGGCAGTATCGACCGCGACGACCTTCTGCTGGTCCTGTACACGGTTGAACGCCTTAGCAGCAACGGTGGTATGAGTATCAGTGAGCCAAGTCACCTCGCCAATGATCAAGTCCGTTGGCTCAAACGCGTCGATCGGCGCCTGCTTCACCTCCTTGCTAGCGATGTTGAGAAGACTCAACGTCACGGTCGGATTCGTCTGCGAGACCTTGGGATACCTTATCTTCAGCTCCCGCGGATACGCCGGAGCAAGGGGTTGGTTATCCATATAATACTGAACAGTATAGGTTGGAACCCCAGTCTCATTGAAGCTCAAGTAAGCCAGATATTCACCATCCGGCGAGAACCACAGCGCGTAGCGATCGCCCAGGATCTCCTCTTCATAGATCCAGTCCGGCACGCCATGGAACATGTCGGGGCCACCATCATCGGTGATCCGCGTAACAGTGCCATTGTCCCAGACATAAAGGTCATTGTCACGAACAAAAGCGATGGTATTGCCCGCCGGGCTCCATCGCGCATATTGAATATCACCTTCCTGATCGGGCATCAGGGGCACGGACTTCAGCGACTCCACATCCTGGACGTAGTAATCGGCAAAGAACGAATGCCGGTACTGCTTGGTGTGGTTGGACGCCCACAGCACCGACGACAAGTCCGGATGGATCCAGTAGTCGAATGCTTCCTTCCCTGTCGGAATCTTGTCCGCAGGGATGAGCGTGCGCGACTCGTTGGTGACGATGTTCTCGATGGTGAGACTACCGTCGTCCGCCGCGTACACGTAGGACCCATCCTCTGCGCCCGAGAGCCATTGCACCGAGCGCGAGGTCGGCGTGATCGCTTGTTTGATTACAGTCTCATTGAAGGTGAGACGTTTGCTGCCTTCTCCGGTGGGCGCGTGTGGTTTCCGAGGCACATCTAGAGCCTGGGCCACGCCGACCAGGAGCAGCAGAAGCTTGGAGTACTGGAGGGGGAAGAGTTAATTATAACGGATTCAATGCTGGATTGCATTTAATTATTCATAGATATCATTGGAATTAACTAACGTACCTTCATGGTGGACAAAATCCCGAGCTCAGCAGGAATCAAGGGATGGCTGGTGGAAGCGGAATTGCAGACCCGGTTTAAATACTAGACGCATTAAATAAAATGTGACTTGTTTGGTTCCCCGCAGAAATCGCGTCTTATCAGTCATCCCTCGTCCTGCATTAGCTCCATCACCACCACCTTCACTTTCCCTACGCTGCCAAGATTCCTCATGAAAAAAAACCGCTGATAGCCGTTGGACAAGCTGCAGGTTCATTGGTAGCAAAGCTTCTAGCGGTGTAACCCAAGACTCGTACATAATTTAAGAGGATTCTAGCCTGACCGAGAAAAAAACAGGACCATTGCAACATAAAACCCGCTGATGATGCTATTGGGGGATTATCCCGTGTCTAACCATTCGATGAGGAATAGTGGCGAGAGGGGAAAAAGGATCTAAAACCAGTTTATAAACAGTACGATTCTAACCATGCTTGAAAATATCGTACATAACAGGATCATTGCTAGCCTCAATCGCAGGAACAATGACACCGCGAGGAACTAACAGCCCTCTTTGTTGCTATTTACCAATGATCACCAAGAGTGGATGTTGGGTAACCTCACATTTATGCGGTAAAGCCCTTGCTACGGCCGGAACCATTTCCATGGCCGTTGTCATGTCCAGGTCTCTTGTGATGAGGGTCATCGCGCTTGGCCTGGCTATCCTTCTCGCCCTGGCCATCCTTCTTGCCCTCATCATCCTTCTTGCTCTGGCCATCCTTCTTGCCCTCATCATCCTTCTTGCTCTGGCCATCCTTCTTCCCCTCATCATCCTTCTTGCCCTCGCCATTCTGCTTGCCCTTGTGCTCGCCGTCGTGGCCAGGGTGCTCGTCGCGGGCCTCAAGACCACGCTTACCACCCTGACCACCAAAAAGACCTCCAACACCTGGAAGGCCGCCTACTGGGCGGTCGCCGGTGAGTCCGCTAGTAGGAAGCTTGTCGGTAGGGAGCTTGTCGGTAGGGAGCTTGTCGGTAGGGAGCTTGTCGGTAGGGAGCTTGTCGGTAGGGAGCTTGTCGGTAGGAAGCTTATCGGTAGGGTTCTTGAGGACTTCGCCGTCTACCGGGCCTTCACGACGCCCGAGACCTCCAACAACGGGAAGCCCTTTAACAAGACCACCCACTGGGTCAGCACTAGCATCCTGGCCGCCACTGCCCTGGCCAGTAGGGAGTTGGCCAGAGGCCGGAGGGTCGCGGGCGACTATTTCACCAGCAGGACCTACTAATCATCAGTCAAGCTTCATACACTTTTTGCTCGAGAGGCAAACCGTTGCGAGCGGGAGCAGCAGCGACGAGTCCAGTAACGCTCAGAAGAGAAAGGAGAGTAGCGGCCTTCATTTTGGCGGTGGGTAGAAAGATTGAGTGAGGAAATTGGATGCTGAGTCGATAGGAATTGTGATGATGGGAGACAACAAGAACCACCGGTCGCGAGGTCTCCTTTATACTGCTCTCTGTCCAGAGAATCCAGGAGGTCTGTCTACTTTTGTTGCTGCATCACATCCGAGTAAGTGGCTGTCCATTGATCGCCCTTCGTTACGTGTGCAACATTCAGCTTTGTCTCAGAGATGATCATCAAGCGGACAGACAATCATCGCCACGACGAGATAGATGTCGGCATCCCATCTACCCTGGCAAAGGTCCAGCTGTTCACCTTATTGGCAGAAGCCAAAATATTGCGACAGCAGCTATCGAAACTAGAGCCGAAGTGCTGCAAGGTGGGTGAAGATCGCGATGCGCAAGAACACACTTGACACCATTGAACTCAGGGCCCGTAGATCAACGTTTAAATCGCGGGCAATTAAGCTACAAGCCCTGTTGTCCGAGTGTTAGGATATCACAGGTCCCAGGACATGATCGGCCAATTATTGGCAGATACGCCTATTCCGTAAAATTAGGAACTCCATGTTTCCCCCTTGATCTGACGCAAGGGATGGGCAGATCATCCGCAGTTGCCTTCCCCATAGTGATCATCGACAAATGACCGCGTATATGTTCCGAATAGACTAGGGATGTTTCAGGGCTTGCGATCGGTATTTGCACCCCAGGGTTTTATGGGGATGACGCTGCAGACGAGGCTTATTTAGTCTTTCGATTGCGCAATCGCTTACCACCCCCCGGCGGGCAATATTCACGCACACTGTCAGTCCTGGTTAGGGTTGTAGATGGTTCATGTACGCGTTGCTCATTAGATCTACCACAACATATGCCGTATGCGTATATATGTACATAGCAAAAACAAAGGTACAAGGTACAACACCACGATCCATATGTACAGCGCCCTTCCAAAAGTATCGACAAACCCCTCACCACGCCCCGACGTCACCAACTGACGAAGTGTACCACATTAACCCCCCTCTACCTCCGCAAGGGCTTTCTCAAAAAGTCCGCCCAGATGATTGCATCATTCCCGTCCAGCAGGGGCTCGTGATACCTCGGCTCAGACTTCCAGTACATATATCCCCGTCTCTCATACCACTCCGCCGTACAAACGGCGGGCCGCACTCGGTCCAGCTTGTCCCAGAAATGGCTCTCCTCGTAGAAATACCGCTTGCTGAGCGCGTTCAGGGTGAGATATTTACACTCCGGGCTGCCATACGGTTCCTGGCTCGCCATCGCTTCGACTATGTCCATTGCTTTGCGCCCGAGACCACCCCGGTGGGAGGGGTCGATGAAGAAGGTCTGGATGGTGAGGGTGGAGCGATCGGCCGTGGCGAGCTCGGGGTCTGGGGGACTAGCGTAGGAGTCGAGAGAGATGTGGCCGGCGCGGATGCGAGGCGCATCGGCGTCAGTGGACTGGGCAGGGACGGTGATCCAGAAGAAGGATTTGAGGTGCGCGTCTTGTTTGTCTCGCCAGGCGATGAGGTTGGCGTCTTCGTAGTCCCAGCCGCATTTTCTGCGCTGTTGCTTCAGCTCGGCGAACTCGGCGGAGTTGTGCAGGTTGATCGGGATCAGGGTGCATGGCTCCTCTGGGGTGCATATGACAGTAGTGGTAGTTGTTGTAGTCATGGTGGAATTTGTAGGGGTTGTGCGGTTCAAACTCGAGATCTGGTGAAGCGTACACCAGTGTAGGTATCAGTAGAGTAGTAGAGAAGGCTGTCTCAGAGTCATCTCGGGGCTTTTCATATGTGTTAATTAATCATTTTGAGTCATTGTGAATGATTTTTCATTAGTAAATAGATCTGCCACTGGCCAATGGGAATGCTTCCTGGGGTTAAGGTTTATCTTATCGCCTGTCGCGTGGCGATTATATCCGAGGCTCCTATGTCCGAGACCATACAATCACCGTTGTAGAAGGGAAATTGATAGGAGACTTTTGTTATCTGGATAATCTGAAACAGCGGACTATTTCCGACGAGTCGTTGACTCAGGTCAGACAGTATGTTACTTAGTTTGAGCATGTAATAGGACAGAAGTAAGCTTGGACCCTCCTCTTCTAATGCCTTCGCCTTTTTCTCTTATCCTCTTCCAATTGCAGCTTGGTCACTAGCTAGTAGCTATGAGTATTGAACTCCTACCAGGAAGAGTATGTTCAACAGATTTAGAATAATATTGAATTAAGGCAAGGAATCGACGTAGGCTTGAGACTCGAGAGCAGTTCCAGAACTATGTCCGACAGCAGATCACACTGAACAATGATTTGACGAAATTTGACGACTCTAAGAAGTGGCTTCTCTTTGCCTGTGAGAATTAAACTCTTAGTTTGTTATTCCTAGGGTGCTGAGTAGAACTCAGCTTAACTAATGAGGGTATTCTGGAAATTATTATCATTGATGTTGTATGTTTGGTGGGCAGCAGTCAGTATAGGCGTTTTAGCTATGACTAGGCTTATTTCTGGCCCCTTGACATAGTCTATTATGGGCTATTAGTACTCTATGTGCTATGGCCGGTTTTCTGGAAATTGTGAATAGGGTGATTACAGGAGCACAGGAGAGGAAGATTAGTCAAGTCATGTACGTGAATACTGGGGCTGGGTGAAGAAGGAAAGAAAGAAAGAAAAGAAGTAACAATTCACACCTTCAAACTTTACTTTCTGCTGACAGACTTTGAGAGATGACATCGCTGAGCTATGGCATGAATAAGCATTGGTGATTTGAACCAGCCGATGACTGTACCGTCTACCCTGCCCCTTGTGCATTTAGACAATCGGCCACCGAACGGGAACGTCAGATCGCATATCCGTTGGCTTCTCAATAATAATTAGTAGACTACATACCAAGCCGATCTTGCATGGATGACCACGAGGCCCTTTGATACAGGATCTTTGGCCATAAATTGATGATCTGTTAGTAGTAGTAGTAGTAGTAGCAACGTCAAGGATCAGTTTCCTGTCTTGACCATATCCGCTACCTGCGTTGAGCTTCCCTAGCCTATGTAGCCTTCCTTGCTTAGATAGGTCTTTCGCCCTCACCAGTAGACATATCTGACTGTGGTCAACGATTGATATATACCTTGTCTATGATAAAATCACCAAAATGTTCAGAAGCAGCTGTCAAGCTGCTACCTGAGAGACAACGATGTTAGCATGCTTAGTGTCCTTAACCCTGTTTCTCTCTTCCACTCTTAGGAAACTCCCCAGGTGCTAGATAGTAGATTGTATCATGAAAGGTACATCCTGGTGGTTTAAACCTGCTAATCCTCTCATTCCGCAACCTCAATACCCTCCACCCCCAGCCCCAAAGCCAGTCCAGCCTCGAAACCCCTCCACAAAGCTCACCGCAGCCCTCAAGCACCACCCATCCCTCTCATTCTTCCACTCCTCCAACATCCTAAATGCCCTTACAACCTTAACCACGTGTACATCCTCCCCAAACTCCCCGTCCAAGCATCTCTCATAAACCCACCCCCAATCCCGTCCCCGTAGCTCAACCCCTCTCACGTCTCCCCCATCCCCAATCTCAGGCCTCAACTGCGCAACATAAACATAAGGCACGAACAACCAAAACTGCCTCAACACCCCCAGCCTATAACTCACAGGAAACGAAGGTAAAAGCACCCTCAAAGCATGCCCGACGGTCAACAAATGCGCCATAAAAAAAAGTCATACTCGCCGTCCCCATTCCGAGACTCAATGAGAAGCAGTCCCTCAACGTCAACCACATCTCTGAACTGATTTACAGGGTCGACGATATCCCACGCATTCCAGTGTTCGAGGAGGGCGTGCTCTGCCTGCGCGAAGGTAATTGAGAGGTTGACGTAGTCTGGGATAGAGAAGAGGTTGGAGAAGCAGGTGTCGGTGTGCACGCGGTGGAGGATTTTCTTTGCGGAGGTTGTTTTGTAGGTTGATGTGCCTGGGTATTGGGTGTCGAGGTAGACGTGGATTGGGTCTCGGCCTGTGCAGCCGAGACTGAGCGCTTCGGCTGCGATTTGGGGGTTGGAGAATTCATAGCCCTAGGCGAGGTGGATTATGGGGTGGCCGACTGTACAATGCCTAGTTTATGGTTTGGAGAGACAGGGGATGAGGAGGGCTTACGACTGCGACGAAGCCGTTGATTAAGGGTTGGGGTGAGCTGAAGAGGTATTCGTTTACGAGACTTTTCCAGCCATTCTGGGCATTGGCTAGTTCTTGATCAAAGAAAGTGGTGTATGCGGCTGTATATCTTGTCCCAAGTGTTAGTTTTAGTTTTGGTAGGTGATGGGATGAAGACAGGCGTGTACTTCTTTTTGCCCAGGAACTGTCTCCAGTTGTCCTTTGTGGCCCCTGTGCGGATGAGTATGTCGTTGAGGCTTTTGAGCTGGGAAGAGTCATTTTGGTACATCTTGATCACCTTCTCGGAGGGGTATCCTAGTAGGTAGGCTGATCCCAGCATCTATAGCCGGTTGGAGGTGCTTTAGTCACATTCATGTTGGGGATGACTCACATGGGGCACATGGTTATGGAAGATGAGTTTTGGTTCAGATAAAACTGCATGATCCTGGTGGTTTCTCTGCATAAGCGAGAGTACACGGTTTTGGAACGTTCATCTGGAAGAGACGGTAGATCAACTGAAGAGATGGAAGGCAAATCAAACTCTTGTTTAGAAGTTATGGTTCTCACAAAATGCTTTGAGTTTAGATAAACTATGCTGGAAAATATGGAGCTAGACTTGATATAAACTCAGGATAGCGGCTATCTTATACTACTAGTATTACCCCCTCGCGTTTCGGCGTTTGGAAGCTCCGCTGGCTCCGACATGGGGGGCTGTTGACTTCAAGCCCTGGTCCGAGGCATTGGCTCTCTGTTTCATAGGTAGTGTATGAATGCACTGAGCATGGTTCAAGGTTGTAGACAAGCAACCCCACTTACAAGTGATGGTTATGGGTTGTCACTGTGGCGAAACACGGTTTCAATTCAACTTTCTAGTCTAGAACTGGTCTGTCAACAATCTTACCAATTATATCTGCAGATTATGGTCTAATACTGCCCCAAACAGCATCCCCCATACCTTCTCCTCAACAGCAAGATACCAGGGAATGTAGCGAGCTAGAGTCCCCCGTACAATTCTTCGCGTAAGTTCCGGTACATGTCGAAGTCGATCCTTAGAAGCACTAGAGACAATTACAGCACTAGAGTTTCTGTATCCATCAGAAATCGCAATTTCCACGAAACCCGCCGCCAGATCTGCATAAGACACAGCCAAAGAGCCCCTTTCTGTACCGATAATATGCCCGGATGACCCCTCCTCAACCAGGGCCGGAGGCTGTACAAGACACAGCCGTAACAGCTGCGGGTGGGCTTCGTAAACAGCTTGTGCTTTGCGAAGATCGTCGTACGCATAACAAAAGGCGTTGCTAACTACCCAGTGCACCAGTCGTGGACGGGCGGCAGCGACTGTAGGATTCAATGTATCCGATGAAAGAAGGATCAGGCGAGGCCGACGCCAGTTGGAACTATCCTCTTGACTCAATACTTGCAGCGCGGAGACCGTGGTGTTCGCTGCATCTTGTAGTAACCGCAACCCGGCGATATTTTCGTTCTCGCCAAGAGCGGAAATGATGATGTCCGCCCCAGAAAAGCATTGTCTCCAAAGCTCAACGTCAGTGATCGATCCTTCAAAGATTTTCACACCTGTAAAAGCTTCTATGCCTGGGAAGAACGACAAAAGTTTTGCTCGTGACCGGACATAGATATGCAAAGCCCAGTCGCTATAGTTCTCCGTAAGAAGAATCTGCAGGATACCTCGTCCGGTGCGACCGGTAGCACCTAACAGACATATTTGACCCGGCTTGATTCGAGCCATATTGATGCAGCTTGAGAACGTGAAGATGAAGAAAGGGTCAAAGAGGCATCATCACTAGTAAACCCATCCCAGCTATATAATACTTCACCGACTCGGACATCGTTGCTAAACCACGCCGACCCGACATGGTTGGCGTAGTTCACTTAACTACCTCAGGAAGTGATTGGCAAGTGTTTTCACTAGGAATTCGAAATTGCATCCTTGAAACGGCCATCATTCTAATTAGACAAGGACATCGTGCGCAAAGCCCGATTGAGCGTTCCAAAAGCCGACAAAAACCGAGAAGACCCACCACAGGATCTAGGCGTGCCGAATCAAACCCAATTGCGTAAGGTTGGTGGTGGATATTCCCTGGAACGCTCGGAGATCAACAGACGTTCCTGATCAAGGTTAACTGGTGCGTAGCAATGTCGTCATGGATCTTTGAGGCGAGAACTGAGAAAGGAATGGAATCATATGATTGATGCCAGTTAGTCACCCTTAGTCACTGTCCAGCATACCTGGAGCTATAAAGCCAATGCCGGCCCCATCCAGAACGACCCCATTCCAATTGGAAGTCTATTCACCCACAGCCTTGAGTTGCCAAACATCATGAGCACACATCCGACTGCGTTTTACGCCGCCCAAGTGGTGGGCTTGACTGGCGCCGCCTGGCTTTCAGGTAAAAATTTCCACGCTCTGTCAAGTCGAATTCAGTGAATAACCAGTCTAATAACCGTCAAAGGCAAAATCCTGTCATTGAGCACAATCTCTGTGCCTGCACTGATACAATCAACCCGCGAAGATAGATTACCGCTCGATGCTGCTGTCAAATTATGGTGCAAGTTTTATAACAAAGGCAAAAGCCAAGCTCCTCCTATCGCCGCTGCCACCTCCACTGCGTTTCTTTATTGTGCCTGGGCCGTTCGCGCTAGCACGACGCTAGCCCCCTTGACCCCCACTCACAGCTCTTCTTTGTACTGTATCGCAGCGGCCTTGACGTTGGGGATCGTACCCTACACCTTTGGCATGATGCTGGGTACCAACAACAAGTTGATGGATCTAGCCAACTCGAATCGGGTGGTAGACGAGAAGTCCAGCGCGGAAGTCGAGTCATTGTTGTCCCGGTGGCTGAAGCTCAATGCCGGTCGGGGATTGTTACCGTTGGTGGGAGGCCTTGTTGCTCTTACGGCAGCTATTCCTTGGCCCCTGGAGATAATTTAATATCGGGCCATTGCTTTGTCTTCGCGCTTGCGGTAATTTGCACTATGATCGCAGAATTGGTGTTGGGGGGGGGGGGGGGGGGGATTCTTGGCGTTGGTTGCACCCTTGGTTGTTTCATTAGACCAATTGAAGATCAGTTCTAATTGACGATCAATTTAGTGCTACACACTCGTTAACTCTTCTTTGCCAGGACGTAGTGAGATGATATTGTACGTACTATCAAGTCGACCCTGAGCAGCGAGCACAAGATCTTTGGCCACTGGATCTCCGCCCAACGGATTCAGGTACCGGGTCGGAATGAAATACCGTCGCTCTCAAGGAATGTTCGTCTTGAACCCAAACCGGAAGTCGATGCCAACGTGACGTGCAACGAGTGAGTCACACGGAGCAAACAGTGCAAAGCGCGTTGAATTAAAACGCGGCTGACAACGCCCATCGACTAAGCCCTGCGACAATCTTGTCGATCCTTCTGTCAGCAACGAAACTAAGGAATCTGGAAGCAATCTGATTGCTGCGTCTCATCTGACCACTCTATTAGCCCCTCGGGGACTTGCAACATTACGGTGAGTCGAACACGATGGTGAATCTTACCCCAGATATCGATATGCGATGTTTATAACTGGAGAAGTATTGTGTCTTGGTATCGAGTACTAACCTATATAGCGGCCCCTGTTTCGCATCTGCACTCAACTAAAGACGTTGGGTACACCAAGAACATACCCCCCATCAATACTTTCTCGCCCCAGTGCGTATTCAAAAGGCAGAATGGCCTCGGCAAACACCCAGCTCGGCCTGAAACCACATCATCACGTAGTCAAAATCGAGGGCGCCAGCGAAGACAGTGAAAACCACGGCGAAGATCTCATCGCCCAGCTGAAGTCCATACCTTCCGATATAACAGCACTCCGGATCGAGGAGGAAACCCCATCAGACAAGGAATGGGCCATTCTCGGCTCGCACTTCACTAACATCCAGTCTTTGGAATTGGACAGCGGATATAACGAGGAACTCAATGACAAAGAATTGCCCCTGCATTGGCCCCTTAAGCGGTGCAAACTTCTCAGTGCCTGCGGGGAAGTCACTCAAACTCCGCACATACGGCAGGGCCGCGTGAGCCATCTCATCTTGTTGCTTACCTCCGGTCTCCGCTTCGAAGGACCCACGTCGAAAGAGTTGAGCAAAGCACATTCCCAAGCGATTGCCCTAGGCGAAGAGAAAGCCAATTACATTACTGTGAGAGAGGGCACTCCTGAGGAAAAGAAGATCCAAATCACATGGATCCCCGAGCTGGCCGGCAAATGGATGAAAAACAAGTATCAGGGTAAAGAGGAGCCCCAGTTAGAAGAAGATAACCACCCACCACCGACGATCAACCTACGCACATTAGAGATTTTAGAAAACGATGCTATTGAGACCCTCTGCCGAATGGCCCTCGCATTACCTCACCTCGTCGAGAACCTGATGACGTTAAATATCCGTTCAACACATTGTTTGGACCTCCAATCCCTGCACGAAAGTATGATCCAGCAGCTACTGCCAGAGCTTTCCGGATTGGAGACGCTAGTGTTATCCATCGGGGAGGTTTTCACGGACGAGTCCCGTCTACCTACATTATACAAATGGCTGCCGCCAAACATATCGACCCTCCGATTCCGAGGCCCAGCATCCCTGACCAAGTCCACGGAGTGGAACAACTGGGTCCAGGCCTTCACCGAGCGCGATTTTCTCCCCAATCTCAAGCGACTCTCATTCGTCCTGGACCTCGAATACGGACCAGATGATAGCTCCTTTGGTCGCAACAAAAAATTGAAGGAAATCCCCGAGCACACCCTTCACGAAGCTCGCGCAGCTTGCGAGCCCCTCTACGAAGCCGCACGAAACCGCGGGATCGTCATCGAACGACTCTACGACGAATGGTCAGACGAGTGCGAGATTCTGAGACAAGTCGACGATCGGTGGCTATGTTGACCTCCTACACCCAACAAAACCCCCTGTAACAACAGAAACTAGTAACCATTGATACCCCCCCCCCACTCAATATCACTACCATGTAGAACAGAACCAAGATAAAAAAAAAAATGGAACTCCATTCTCTCGCATGATCTCCCCACCCACATATTGGATTCCCGTTCTAGAAACCAGCTCGTAGTCGTGTTCGAACATCCCAGACAGCGTCGTATCCGCATAATCTGCCGAAAGGAGTATAAACTCGTCGGGCTAGACGCAAAGTCAGCCCAGTGGATCCCCGTCAAGAGAACAAAAGGCTCGAAATAACTTAAGCTTGGGCGAGACTAGTCACTAGGCAGACAGAATTTCCACTCGCGCGAATCAAATGCTGCCTCGGGCGCGGTCTGACGGTGGATACGAATACGAGGGTCCAGTTTTTGCGTCTGGCTGGGAATGAACCCTACAGCAAGGTATATAAGAGGAGTGAGATCCTAGAGGGCTTACAGTTACTACTGTTCACCTTATCTTTATTCTACCTGGCGTAGAATCCTTCATTCCATACAGAGAGATACATATGCAGTTCCAACAAAACTGACAATATTTGCATGATTGAGCGATTTAACGACGCAATTTTTTTAAAAAAAAAATGAGCGATACGGAAAGCACACAGACGTATGTACTCCACATTTCCCAGCCCTACCATGTCCTTCTATACTAGCACCCTTCCAACTACGTACCCGCTACTACACAGACTACATTCTCACATACATCCCCAATAACAACAACAATACCACCACTAACAGAAAGAAACTAGTACGTCAACCTCTATAACATCAAGAACGTCCACAACCCACACCACCACCTCCACAAAACCCCCGCAACCAACCACCCAAATCTTCCCTCTCGCCCACCCGCCGCCGCCCAAACACACCCTCCGTCTCACCCCCCACCTCACGCTCCAAATCCAACAACTCACGCCCACCTCCCGCCGCCCCATCCCCATCCTCGAGGTCTACCAACCCACCCGCTTCGGCAAGACCCTGGGCGATGCGCCCCGCAAGCTGACCGCCCGGGATATGTACATCGTGCAGAGCGATGGATATGCGCATCTACCGGAGGATCAGAGTCAGGGGGCCGTTGTGGGGGTGATTTATATGCCGGCGAAGGAGGAGAATCGGAAGATGGCGTTTCCGGGCGGTGGGGTGTGGTTCCCAGTTGGGGAAGGGTGGGAGGTTAGTGTGACGGTGAGGGGAGGGTATCGGTTTATGTTTAAGGGGAGGGCGGATGGCGTGAGTCGGGTGGTGGAGTGGGAGAAGAGGGTGGCGAAGGGGAGGTCGTCGTCGGCGGCATCGGAGGGGAGTGAGATGAAGGGGGATGTGAGGTTCACGCTGAATATTGCCGAGTCGGGCCTGAGGCGGCCGTGGTTGGCGACGTTGACGAAGCAGGGGTTGAAGGTTGGGGGATGGGATCGGGCACAGAGAGAGTATCTGGCTTCGTCGTTACGAAGTGAGAATGAAGTGGAGGAAGATGCGGCGCTGTTCACCTCCATCTTGACGATGGGGGTCTATGTGGCGGCGCAGGAGGGTTGGTTGAATCAATATCTCTAACGAGGTTGTATGGTCATTTGTTTCATTGTTTCCTTTTGATTTCTTTCTACCGGCTTAAGAATGTATAGCAAGCTTGATACCCCCAGGTTACAATTAGTGATTGACACCCAGTTCCACACTCTTGATCTGCAATGCCAATAGTCGCGAGTAGTACCGACACAGCGCCAGGTTGCCGCCCATAAACCAGAAGCCGGGGTGTCCGCTGCGCTGCCAGATCGTGCGCATCTCTCCTTCTTCATTGTATCCCCAGACGCTCTGGATGCGATCCGCCACCTCGTCGCCGAAGATGATGCGCGCCTGCGTTCGCATGTTCTGGTAGCCCGTCGCGAAAATGATCTCGTCGGCCTCCAGCTCGGAGCCGTCGGCGAAGCGCAATCCCTGCGGAATGACCTCCGCGATCTCCTGTCCCTGTTTCACCTTGATCTTGCCGTCGGCGATGAGCTTGCTTGCTCCCACGTCGATGTAGTATCCGCCACCGCGCTGGAGGTACTTGATCAGCAGGCCCGCATCATCCGGCCCACGGTCTACTTTGAAGCCCGCCTTCTCCAGGCCGTCCAGAGTCGCCTTGTCATTTTGATTTTGGACTGCGGTAATTTTCTTCTGCTGCGCCTTGAAGAGCTCCGACGGAATGCTCCACAGGAACAAGTCGGCATCTTCAACCGGTGGGGCACTTTCCTCGTACAGGCCCTTCAGCCCAATCTTGGTGATGGATTCGGAAGAGATGACACATGTTGAACTGCGCTGGACCATAGTCACGTCGTATCCCTTCTCAAAGTAGTCATGTGCAATGTCATGGCCCGAGTTACAGGATCCGACCACAACCGCCTTCTTGCCTTTGCTGTTGGGGTCCGCACCAGGGAACTCGGAGCTGTGGCAAATGCGCTTCCCCTGGAAAGTCTCAACGCCCTTGAATTCCGGCAGGTTTTTCTTACCCGAGTGGCCAGTTGCCTGGATGACATGACGGGGGTTGAAGGTACGAGTCTCGACTGTACCGTCCTCCTTCTGTCGTTGGAGCTCAATGGTCCAGACATTGTTTGCGTCGCTCCAAGACGTAGATTGGAGCTTGGTTTTAGTCCACACGTTCAGCTCAAGAAGCTTGGCGTAGCATTCAAAGAACTCTGCGAGTTTGTCCTTGGGCGTGAAGATGGGCCAATTCGCCGGGAACTGAAGGTAGGGCAAGTGGTCGAACCAGACGGGATCGTGTAGAACCAGCTGGTGATACCGCCTACGCCAGTTATCTCCGATGCGATCTTCTTCGTCAATGACCAGTGCATCGATATCGAGCATTTTCAGACGGGCGGCGATTGTCAGTCCAGCTTGGCCAGCACCTGATAAAGTTAGCTTGTCTGGTGAAAAGGGGGAAGGAACAGTGTACATACCAACGATTAACACCGTGGGGCTCTTCCCTTCATAGTTGAAGTCGGCGATTCGTCTATCCTGCCAATTCCGTCTATCATGATGCTCGCCATGCGATACGCCCACCGGCCGGTGATGGTTAATCTTCTCCTCACTCCCCTTGACCTCTAACAGTGATGTGAAGAATGTGAAAATCTTCCACTCCCCATCCTTCTCGGCCAGTCGGACAACACCTTTTCCACTCCCCACGTCGGTATTGACCTTAATGAAAAACTGGATTCCGGTTACATCGCCAAAGGCATCGATAGGGAAGATCGCCGGTGCATGAAAGGCGGACGAGCGGTCAATTTCTACTTGTAGCAAACGGGGGTTTTCCTGAAGGAACTTGGTGATGTTCTCTTGGCCCTTGATGGTGCGGAAGTCCCATGTCAGGATGAGATGGTCTCGCCAGTAGCCATCTTCCAGAAACAGTTTGGAGATCTCCTGAGGTTGCTTCAGTGCCAGCGCCGTGTTCAGCAATCGTATCACCTCCGACGCGATCTTGTCAGCGTCAATGCCAGTTGACGAGCACGTTGCGGGAAACGTCCCGACGGGGACGTTGGAGGAGCCGGGCTCGACTCTATCTTTTGAAGCGAGGGCCATCACGTAGTTCTCTGGTCTGGTAGAGAAGAAGAATAGGTAATGGAGCGATGAGTGCGGGGAATTAAAGAGATGCGAGGGCGGGGTAACATAAGAAGAGAGCACGGGGTCTGGACTCTGGTCACTCTCCTCTTCTTTATACTCTCATCACCCCACTTTACGAACAACGCGTACTCGGAGCTGCAGCTGCACGCTGTAGTAACTGCGTGGGGCTTTCTTCAGTCACTCGTTGCTTTCGAAATACTGTCAAGCCACATTGTCTCAGACCTTTCTCTACTAACAGAAACTAGGTAGACTCCCACCGGGCTAGACTCCAATAGCTACCTATCCACGTACCCCTCAGTGACATCTGCACCATTGAGTTGTCGAGCAATTAGCGCTGGACCCTTACTATAAGAGGCAAAGATAGGCCCAGAAGCACAATTGTGGGGGTCCCATTGCAGGGATTCCTTGCAGAAGATGCGTCGAGGACATCGGAGAATGGCTCCTACTGGCACATATGTTTACCATGTGACCGGCTGCCCCAATGGAATGAAAAGGAAACCGAGATCGGGCCAAGTGGGCGATACTGTGGTACTGTGGCATCCCGATATCCTGCATGAACGACCTCCACAACGTCCAACGCTACTGTTGACCAAGCAACGACAACAAAAAAGAGAAAAAAGAAACTCGTGAGATGCTCCCACGCGGATTTGAACCGCGGACCTCATGATTACTAGTCATGCGCTCTACCAACTGAGCCATAGGAGCTTCGGATGAGATCTGCTTCCACGCGGATTCGAACCGCGGACCTCATGATTACTAGTCATGCGCTCTACCAACTGAGCCATAGAAGCTGATTGGATGTGCTGCTTTGCAGTTTGATGCTATATAAACTTTTGACCAAGTGAGCTTCGAAGAGCGGATGGATCTGGACCAGACGGAGACCATAGTATCCTACGCATCCTTAACATCTATTTAGTGGCCTACCGATTGGTTGTCCCGTCTGGGGGTTATCGGTATATCTGTGGCTTCCATAAATGGCCAGCTTTTAGCATTCTGCATAAAGATCTAGGAAGTTATGAAGGGTTCACTCGGCCTCCTCTTCGGCAACTCAACCGGGATCGTTTCATAGATAGCCCGAGCTAGTCTTTTATCAAGCAAAGTCCCACTTCCTTGTATCAAATCGCAAATCCCATCTACTCACTAGGATACACAAACCGGATAATTATCCTGGCCACCCCGCAATTGCTCCAGTTCCCTCCGCATTCCAGGTAAGCTCACTACCGAACCCCATACCCGAAACTTTAAAACCAAGACTAGTATGAAACATCATGCCGCAATTCTCTCATATCAGTCCTCAATTTTGGACATTCTCTACGCAAGAAGAGGGGTATATGAACTAAATCCACTTGACGGATTAGAACTAGCCAAATTAGCCAAGTCCGAGGATTCCCCGGTCCCCTCGACGAGACGACAATCATTGGCAGCCTGGTCTACGTATGGTGAATCGTCTATCTGGTGGAACCCACATTCCGCGCTATACTACACTCTGGGGACGTCTCCTCGTTGTCATTTGTTGTTTGTCACGATACCAAGCCGCCGGACGGGTGGGCGAGTCTGAATTGTGTTGGCTAAGCACGGTTGTGCTAAGACCTGGGGCTATTTTTCCGAATGTTATACCCACTATAAGTACCGTCGAGAGGAAGTAAGAAAAATGTTACCCAGGGTTTTCTGATCAGCCTTCACAATGTTGCACGGTAGAATACGGTCTGTGGCCCTCATGGCCGCCGAGGGCCTTTTCACAGCGACTGTTGCTCAGGCCGGGTATTGCTCGTCATCTGTGATTTCCCATCCATCCATACCTGGAGGAGAGGTACTGGATCTCTCTGCCATTCCAGTAACGAATTATGCATACGATGACTCTACACTAGACTTTTGCAATGTGACCGTCACATACACCCACCCAGGGAAGAATGATACCATCCATGCCACAGTCTGGCTCCCCTTCTCCAATTGGAACACCCGACTCCAAGGCTCCGGCGGAGGCGGTTTCGCCATGAGATCGGAAGATGCCGTCCTTGCGGCAGCTGTGGCCCAGAACTATACGGTCCTAGCCACGGACGGAGGTCACGACATGAACTCGCAGAGTTCAGCATCATGGTCCCTGGACAATTCAGGAAATGTGAACATGGCGTTACTGGAGGATTTCGCCTACGTCGCTCTTGGCGACGCCGCGATTATCGGTAAACAGATCACCACCAGTTTCTATGGCCTTGCTCCGCGGTACTCGTACTGGAATGGGTGCTCGACCGGCGGCAGGCAGGGTCTAATGCTCGCACAGCGATATCCCACCGCGTATGACGGCATCATGGCCGCTGCACCGGCAATAAATTGGGCTAGTTTCCTGGTCGCAGAGTTCTGGCCCCAGTTTGTCATGAATAAGCTTGGCGCTTTCCCTCCGACATGTGTCTCGGATGCTATTACTGCTGCGGCGATTAAGGCGTGCGATGATATCGATGGGGTTGTGGACGGAGTGATTTCTGCGCCTGACTTGTGTGATTTTGATCCATTTACCACGGTTGGCACGAGAGTAAATTGCAGCGGAACCAGTGTGAGCATCTCCGTGAAGGATGCTCAAGTGGTCAACAGTACATGGGAAGGACTCAGGTCTTCGGAGGGCTCGTTCCTATGGTACGGACTTGACAAGGGCACACCCTTGTCAATGGGTGCGTCGAGTCTCGCCCGTACCATATGCTCGGCACCGTTCAACTGCACCGGTTCTCCGTTTGCTATCTCGTCAGACTGGATCCGCCGGTTTGTCCTGCAAGATCCGTCCTTCGACCTCAGCACGCTAGACCACAAAGCCCTCGATAGGATATTCACCCTTTCCAAGGAAAGATACAACGACATAATCGGCACCGATAATCCAGACCTCTCCGCCTTCAAGCAGGCGGGCGGGAAGATGATAACCTGGCATGGACTCACTGACACGTTGATCTTCCCCAAGGGCACAGAACAGTACTATAAACGGGTGGAAGAGAAGGACCCATCCGTGCGTGACTTTTATCGCTTCTTCAAGGCCCCGGGGGTCCATCATTGCTCTGGGGGTGTGGGGCCTGTACCTGTTGATCCGTTGAGCCAGGTAGTAGATTGGGTAGAGAATGGTGTCGTGCCTGAGACCGTTGATGCTCTGGCTGCTGACGGTAGGAGGAGGAACCTGTGCCCTTATCCACTTGTTTCGGTGTATAAGGGCGGTAATGTAAGGGATGCGGCGAGTTATCAGTGTGAAGAAAGTTATTAGTGATGTGATTAGTTGGCTTGTATGGAATTACACAAGGCTTGAAATCACGAAGTGGTTCTTGTCTGTTATGCGCAAGAGGCATGTTTAGTTCCATTGGCCGCGTCTCCGAATTGATATACTGCAAGCTCAGCGCCTTAAACCTGCCCAGGAGTTATCTAGTAGTTTCACCAGGAAAGATCTGTGCACCAGAGCAGTCAGAGGTAGTAGATCACATATTTCCTCAATGCCAACCAGCTGCTTAAGGAAGTAGGGGTGATGGAGATCACTTAGGGGACATGTATTGAATATTCTACACACTACTAAACTTGCCGACCACCACTACAATCAGACGATTATACAACTATACAAGGATCTATCATTAAATGTCAAAGAACCACTAGCAGTTCTACAGCAGAGGATACCATCAACAACACCAGCAACACTGAAACAGGAACGAGATTCGGTGTTATCCGATGAAGAAGCGATCAATTGGAGAAGAGCGCCAAAGGTATAAAACCAAACCTCTTACGGAGCACTATATACAACCAAGCTAAAATAAAAGCAAGTTTGACTCTCCGGATCCGATAGTATTGCATGACCTGGATATCTATCCCATCTTGACCCTCCCACATCCCGTGTACCTACCGGATATGGTCCTTTGGGATGATTGTGATCTACTCTGGGCCGATGATCTAACGTTGCCGCGCGGAGTCCGGCTTCTGGATCCCCGCCAGACAGGGAACGATGTGCTCACCAGGGAAGCCCGGGAATACTTCTATATAGTCAGAATCTGATTGTAACAGGGGGCGAAATTCCCTGGTTTCACCCTTTCCGTGAGGATGACTTCGACCCTGCACACTGGCTACAGCGCATCCATGTAGTGCTCTCATATGCGCAGGAAGAGTCAGAGTCAGTATCATATAGGAGTACTCCCCGTCTTGTTACACACCATATTATGAAAAAAAACTAGCATCCTGTGACCGGCTGGACTATGTAATCATCGAGTTACGGACGGAGCATATCAGCATCCTGGAGTCACACCTAGTCCGATTGGAGGAGAATCTGCGCTATTTGGATCAGCGGTTGGGTCGAGGAGTCCTGATCGTTCTGGCGTGTGCGTGGGATCAATGGGATCCATGTATCCGCTCCCAGGCAATTCATCTACCATGGTGGGATGCTGAAAGGATTACGACCATGGGCCAAGTGGAGACCGATTGGAAAAAGCAGATCCAAATGCAACAGCCTCCTGCAGCACCTTGGGAGACAATGGAGAAGGCACCAGTTCAAAGCTTGGCAACAATGTAATTAGCTTGTTAACACTTGGGATTTCTAAAACCAGAGAATAAATTCAATTTCTCGTATGCAAGTCTCAGCCTCCGGGCTGAGCACAAGTGCTACATGGATATACCATGCAGAGACTCAAGGCTTAGCGCGAATCCTAATCAATAAGGCTCGTAGCCTTGTCTTTGTTTATAATCTAGTGTTTCTTGGACATGGATATCGATCCTCCTCCACAGCACTTATGGCTATAGACTTAGCATGCAGTGCCCTGGTATGAGCTTTCCTTGCCTTTTGCATCTTCACCGAGCCCCCTCATCCCAACTCTTTGACCGTATCAGTAGCTGTACCTTTCGAAATGAACTATGTTAATAGAGATGTGTCAGTGAAAAACACCCACCCCTTCAAAATAACAAGAACCCCTTCCTTTGATGTCCATGGCGCACATAACATTGTGGCTACGTCATGGGTAGGTCGACATTTTTTATCTTTATCTGTGTGCTATAACCTGGGTATTGAGCGAGCTGGTGAGAGAATACATATCTCCCACTGGCCGCACTCATTTACAGAGGCGCCGCTGGTTTGACAACTCGTGCAGGGATTGGATGAAAATCAAGTAGGAAAGGTCTCCCGTTTGAATAAATTTGAAAACAGACTCTAGAAGCGAGAAGAACTGTCCGATAACAGTATACATGCTAAGAAGTCGGAACAATGGGCATGACGTCTGTCCTTGAATGAAATATATATCGTAAATATGTCACTTCCAAGCATCTGAGTGATGACTAGTCTGCAACAGTACCTCCTAGAATGCCCGATGAGTGTGTCAAATATAGATATCTCCGTGCTCTCTTGGATCTGGATTCAAGGGTCCTATTACTCGTAGAGTTTTAAAGTATATAGGAATCATGCCTAAGTTGGTCTATTGCGGGTAGACTTTTTAAGAATTGATTATTGTGCTATAAGTTAAAATAAGAAAGGATCCTTCAACAACTAGCATCATTGGTCTAGTGGTAGAATTCATCGTTGCCATCGATGAGGCCCGTGTTCGATTCACGGATGATGCACTCATTTTTTGTTTTCTTTCCCTGGTTCCTTATATCGGGCCCACTATTTTTCTTGCTCTGGCAATGTATTCTTCTGTTTTCTCTTCTTGGGTATCAATAATTGTTTCTAATAAAGATTCGTTTCTCCAAGATATGTATCTAAATATGTATGTACAAGAAGATGAAGTTGGTGTCTTGCCCAGGAAAACACCATATCGACAGTGCAATATTCACAGCACTATATACTATAGCCCAAACCCGCCCGGCGAAAAGGTCGGTGACATAATCCTCTCTCTGTCTCGCAGTGTCACAGCATACCGGCTCTTCCATCCCATCCTCCCAAGCGCCAACGTTTCCAGGGTCTCCGTCTTCCCACCCCAGAACTTCCCTTTGCCGTCTTGTCGCTGCACAGGCGGGATCCAGAAATGCGTGACCACCGCACCCAGTATCATACACACGCTGAAGACGATTAGAACCCAGCCGTGGCGGATGATGGGCTCGTCGCCAAGACCTGAACCGAAGTTGAAGTGCGCGGAGAATATTTGAACAAGAATTGAGCCGAGTTTGCCAGCGCCGGCGCTAATTCCGTGGCAGGTAGCGCGGTACCGAGTGGGGAAGATCTCGGCGGGAATTATATAGGTGGTTGCGTTGGGGCCTGTAGGATTCTTTGTCAGTGTTTGTTTTCCCTTTTGCATTTACTAGGAAGGTCCATACCGAAGTTGAAGAAAGCCTGACCGACGATGTATAAGGCCACGGCTACAGCACCTTCTTTGTGGACGGTCAGGAACATAGTACCCAGGGCGATGAAGAGGGCGGCCAGCGCCAGAAACCCGTATTTTTGGAGTGCGACGCGATCAAGACGGTGGATGACGAGAATCAAGAGTAGGCCCCCAAGGAAACTACCACTGTTCAAGATAACAAGGGCATGCGTCGAGCTATCTAGAAACATCTTGAAGACATCGGCGTTCGGTGAATCATCCGTCTGCCAGACAGGCGCTGCACCATGGAGCTTGAGGGAACCCCATGTCTTGGCCAGAAACTGTGGGCTCGAGAGGCCAATTCCGTAGAAGCCAAAGTCGAGCAAAAGCCAGGACAGGGAGGTAGCAGCGAGAGTGCGCCAGTTTCCCTCAGTCCAGAAATATTGTGTGATATCCTTCCTCGTCAAATGCCAGTGGGAGTTGAGAGTGGCGGGCTGGAGAATTTCTGCCTGCGAGGGTGATCGATCAGAGAAGCATTGACTCGTCATGGAGATCGCTGGGAGGGGCAGGTTGTGCCAACTATCCGTTTCCACAGAGGGAGAGTTGTTCGGCTCGTGAAAGAGGGTGGTTGCGTCGAATTCTGCCTGCACGGGGTCGTCTTCGACCTCCAGCAGGAACCGGGGACTTTCTGGGATAATGAACCGGAAGACCGTTGCGATTACCCCAGGAACCACCCCGATCCCAATGACCCACCTCCACATGATATCCACCGTGCGGGTCAGGTCTTCATTTCCTCGACTTCTGCTGGCCGCGCATACGATCAGCGACACAATATTTCCAGTGATCTGACCGAGCGGCTGCATGAAAAAGACCGATGCCATCATTCGTGCTCGATGCTTTGTGGGCGCAAACCTATTGGAAAGTCTGTCAGTTCCCGATCGCGCGAATCAAGCCAAGCTGCACCTACTCAGACGTGATGACAGCACTCAGTGGGTAATCGGCCCCAACGCCGATGCCGACCACGATTCTCCACCATATCAACCACGCATACACATTCATACTATGGTTCACGCCATTTGAAGACATGACTACACCGAGGGTCGAGGTGATCAGGAGCATCAGCTCCAGACCGTACATCTTCTTCCGCCCATACTTATCTGCCAGATACCCAAATAATACTTGCCCCAGCATGGTACCGGCCAATGTGGCAATGTTGATATTGGTGAGTTTCATGGAAGACGTTTCATTTTGCCAGTAGACGTAGGATAGCATCGGGAAGGCCATGTTGCTGGCAAATAGCTGCGGGGAGAAGAAGCATTCGTCAGTCATGATTGATTCGGCATCGAGCCCAATAGCTTCATAGTTAACTGACTGTATATCCATCGAGGAAGAAGCCCACTCCGGCTACAAACACCACAATCCATTGATAACCCTGTCGATCGATGGTTTCGTAAACTTGTCGCATGCGGACATGGCGGTCCTAGATGCATGGCGGTCAGTTTCAGACGGTAACAAAATCCTAGATCCGATGGAGACTGCACCTGTTCATGGTCAAAATCCCGAGCGCGATCGGTTTTATATAACCTCGAGCGAAACTTCGTCATTTTTTTTTTTGTGAATCTTATCGCACTAGGCGTTTCTTATCTTAGAGGAACGGCTCATTTAACAGGACAGGATCCATAGTATTATGACAGATTCGCCATTGATCGTCCAAGATGTTACCTCCAATATAAAGAATGCGGCTCGAAACATAGGGCAAGATAGGGGTAGGACAGATCCATGTGGAAGAACATGGCAGATGAGGGTGGCATGGCTAGTACGTGACCGACCGACGACAAGCCTCAAGGCTGGACAAAGAAGCAAGAAACAAGAAGAGTGGGGGGTGGGAACAGAATAAAGTTGGGGGTCCACCTCTGCGAAGGCCCACCATTGGTGCGAGTGAAGCGGGTAGCTCAACGTGCCACATTAGCTTCCGTTTGGACATGAAGCAAGGGCCAATTCTTCTCCCACGTGCGCCCCTGAGATGCGTATTCAACTTCCTCCGGCGGTTCTTGCGGTTCCTGCGGCCCACCGATCACGAGCTTCCTGACATGGATGTTAATTAATGCGCGTCGTCTCTTCATGCACGCAATCTCCACGAGCAGCCACTAGGAAATCCAGGTGAGACACCAGACGCGTGTGATACGGTGTGATACGGTGTGATGCTTGTGTTTCTCGACATTATTTTTCGCCTTTGAACCAACGCCAGTGCATGCGCCACGTGCTTTCATAACTTATGATGGTATTGACTGTACAGGGTATATAGATGTATTATCCAGCGTAAGACATAGAAGTAAATAGTATCTCCGACCGAATCCGCCCATCGAGCATGCCAGCGCTCCGACTATTACCGGATTCTAGAAACATCGTGCGTAGAGTCAAAACCCCGCAGAAATAATCTATCATGTATATAGAAAAAAATAAATAAAGCAAGATACTCACTCCCAAATTATGTAGAAAGACATGATCATCGAATGGTACTTATTTTGCGTGGTCTGCCAGGAATTGACAGAAGGCCAGGCCATCTGCGGAACATCCGTTAATACCCAACTCTCGGCCGAGTACCTGAAGTAGACATACCTCCGTGGTCTAAGAAATGGATCTGGAGACTTTTCATTTGGGAAAGGTAGTCGAAATTTGGTAGAAGATGTAGCACAACCGGCCGCCCGGCCTTTTTCGGCGGTTGGACACTTTCGACGCAATTCACTAAGCCGGTCAGTACCGGGACGCTCCCCTCTCGAACTCTGCCCGCTACTTACCAGGAACAGAGACATAGCGCTTTAACTCCTTTCGCTGCGAATTGGCGAAAAATAGTATGACTTGTTTGCCGTTATACCCGCGCAGAATGCGTAGATTCTGGCTGATGCATTCTTCTCCACGACCTTTCGATTTGGCTTCGGCAATCCCGGCAATGAAAACGAGTTTGGCGGCGAGTATGAGCTCTTGAAACTGCACGCAATCTGGCAGTGTGAATTAGTAAGAGCTCCTTGAGTATACCTAGCCAGTCCTACCGTTCCAATCCTCAAAGGTGTAAGATAACTGTGATGTGAAAACAGTATGGGCGGTCTGGATGGTCTGCTCCTCCATGAAGGAAATTCTTAGAGAGGGTTCGTTGGGCAGCTTGGGGTGTTCGAGATGCGGGACGGGAATTTTTGTGGTGTTGACTTTGGTGTAAGTAGATCATAATCAGCGTAAATACCCTCGTAGTTAGAATCCTTATCACTTACAGGTGTGCACAAAGGGCGCCTGTTGGCCAACCGCTCCTCCCAGCTCCAGGGCCCTTAAACTTCCTGTGGCATCTTTGCGAATATCAATATATGTGTATCGAAGTTTGAAAAGTTTGTGACTTCGGACGAATGAGCTATAATGGCCCGTTAGAGAGTCACACTGGCAATCCGGAGCAAGGATAGTTAACGCACATCGTCACAGCAGGGTTTAGTGGTAATCGAGCTACTTCATCGTACAACGACTGGCATGACGCCTGCCGCGATCTTCCCGGAGACGATGTGGCGGGGCTGATGGGAGGAAGAGGGAAAAATGAGGTTGACACGAAACTAGAGGATGAGGACTGGGTCGAAGACGAGATGGTACTTTCTCGTCGGGCAGGCGGGAGAGGCCAATCCTCCGCGTCGAAGAGAGTCTGGCTCATGGCCAGAAGATAGAGATCTGAAAGATCTTCCTATTAACACCAACGCGGCGTTGATAACTCTGCGTATTCGCAGTGGGCTCGACGAACTGGCGATCTTGCGGGTCCCCAAGAATTGATCGACATGCAGGGGCAAGTATGAGAGCTCGACATCATCTTTCCCAGGGCTGCCAGAGTTCTTTCAGAATCCAGGAACCATTCTTACAATGGATACCCAACGCCCGTTGTTTGACGTGACATTTTAAATATGAACTCTGTCCCTCCATGGGAACCGGCATAAGGGCACCGATAAGACGAGGGGTCTACCACAGCCAGCCCATTGGCGGGAGATCCGCAACAACGTGCCCAAATGGATGGCTGCTATTGAAAGCTTTCGGTGGGACCCGGTGGGGGGCCACGCTAGGAGTGCTCCATGGGGGTGATATATATGTGTACCCGTGCTCAACTCGTGGGAAACTGCCGCGCATCGTTCGAGAACATTTCTTCCTTCGTGTGGTCCGCTTTCGTAGTATACCTCTGAAGCTGGCGAGCTCAGCTGTTGTTAGTCTCGGAGCAAGAGCTCTTGACTAGTGTAACCAGCCATGAGTGGAGATGGCAATGGTCCTAGTCCTGCTAGTACCTACCTCAGCTACTAAGCCACTTGCTACTCGAGTCAGGTCGGCCACATGGCATGACCGGGGAATAAGATCGGACAAATCATTGTCTTCCTCCGATTGACCTTCTTCCATTGGGGGAATCTCGTCATTTCAATCTAACTTTCCGAATTATTTTTTGTTGCTTCTCTGTTATTAATGGCCGAGACCATCTTTGATGGTGCCTTGTTTTTGTTTTGTTTTGTTTTTTTTTTTTGGTTTTGTTTCGCTCTTGCTCCTACTGTACTCCGTAGAACCTTTTACTATTCCCCTCTCTCTTTTCGCCTCTCTTTTCCCCTCTGTTAATTTTGTTTACATTTTTATTTTCCTTCTGTATTTTAACCGACTCGTTCAACTACCGCATCATATCTCTTTTATCCAAGATAAGCTTCGTTGTAGAATTGAAGGTGACATTACTAATCTAAGGTATATAAACATCTAATGGATGGCCCCTTTCGGATTGGGTATCCGAACAAAAACTAAAAAAGCCGTATGCAGAACTAACAAACACCAGCGGAAAGTAGCGGAGCCAAGCAAACCTTGCAAAAATGAAGAATCAATAGATCTATGGGCCATTCAGTGACCATGGAAAACCGAAGGCTTGAACCGGAGGAACGCCGACATGGAACGGACAGGGTATATATACGCTGGGCCATGTTCTCATGAAAATGGAAAAGTCCAGAAGAATTAGGGCAAAGGGGTATACAATATGTTCAATGGTTATCTTAAAGCCATGTTAGAGGGTTGCGGCAGGAATTTTGTACAGTTTCACATGTCATCGGTGGAAGTGGGAGAACACCACTTACCTGTTGGCACAAGAACGCCATGCGGTAGAACAGTCCCACGGAGAGAGGCCACTGTGGTAGTAAAGCCGGAAGCCATGGTTAAACACGGCCGTAGCAATGCATAGAGAGAGTATACCATCAGTATCTGGATCAGATATAGACAGCCGGCAGTGATGCGTGAGTCAACGACGAGTCTTGTCCCGCCAGCGGACATGCGCGGTAACGCTCCCGTATTCAGTAAGAAAGGGCGGTCGCCAAGAGAGCATAGCCCCTTTTAAGCGGGAATGCTGAGACATCTTCCCGCTTCGCTTTCTTCCGCCCACAAAGGTCCGTCTCCAGTGTCCTGTTCTGAGGCAGCACGAACTCAATGGAGGGGCTTCTGTGCAATGATACGATAACTCGTCGTCACCAATCGCATATTGTCCATCTCGACGAATGCTTCTCCGTCTAGACATAGACGGTTGATTAACGTCTTGAAGTGTTTGGGGAGCACATGAGTCTTGACCAGGCCCAGGATAACCTGTCGCATGGATCGGAAGTAGAAGTCAACCTTGTCGATCAACGGGGCTTGCAGTCCACCGACACTGGCGTTGTCGGAGCGAGTTACCGTGAATCCAGCATCGGTGAGAGCGTTTTCCAGAATCTTCGGAGTAGGTGTGCCCACCGCCCCAATCAGTGGCTTTACGCGACGCATGAGCTGGGCATGCTCGGGGTTTGAGGGATCATAGTCAGGCAGACTGACCCAGTCCAGCATGGAGAATCTCGCTCCCGGCTTGAGTACACGGAAGATTTCGCGAAACAGGGCAGGCAAATCTTTGCACAGACTGAATGCCTGGATCTGATAGAATGCGTCAAAGGTCTCATCTTCGAACGGGAGAGGAAGACTGTTGAAGTCCTGAACGATGAAGCGGTTGTCTTTGAACCCAAGCTTCTCGTTATAGGCACGGGCTTGGGCGATCTGGTTAGGGTCGATGTTTAACCCGGTCACATGTGCACCCGAGTATTGGGTCATGTGCGCAGCCACGCGACCGCGACCGCAACCCAGATCTAATACTTTGTCTCCGGGCTTAAGGCCAATATGTTCGGCAATGGATTCTTCATACAATAATTGGTTTTCCAGCACGGTCGCTTTCTTGCTCATGAATGGTGGGATATACATCTTCTCGACGTCGCCAAGCGCGCAGAGGTGATTTAATACCCCATAGTACGACTTGAGGCAATCACCGACCTTTTCTTGGTAGTTGGGCCCGAGCTCTTTGACCATCTGCTGCTCATTGGACCAGTCTAGGTTATAGATGACATAAGATGCCATGAAGTCATCGACTTGCTTCGGGGTCAGATGTTGAAGATACCGGAAAGCGGTCCAAAAAGTTTTCCACCGCTTAGGAGAGGCGGAGTTATGCAAATCTGGCCGGGTCGATGGGATGCTGTGCACGGCCAGATTTTGTTTCTCAGTTGCAATAGCATCCAGCGAGCTACTCTCAGAGCTCCGCCCGGACTGGCGTGATGCCAAGACCGTTTGAGTTTCCGTCATAGTGTTGATGTTGCGCGGTGAGAAAGCCTAAAAGACAGGGAGAAAGAAAAGAGAGGTAGGATGATAGTGAGAGGGACTAAGGATAGCTATATTGCTGTCAGATAAGCCATGCCCGATGGGACCTTCAATTAGAAAAAGGGAGGAAGGAGCGGGGCTAGGACAATTTATAAGCATCTCGACGAATTTTTTTCTCCAAGAGCGACGTCGGGATCCTCATATTATTGATTTGCCATATGACCTGCCATGGATAGTTAGTGATGGCCACTGTGGATTATTGTCACCAGATCTGGAAGGCATCGGAAGTGTCGGATAAGGCAGGTCGAAGAAAGGAAGCGCGGCAGGGAGCGGCAGGCGACCCGGAAGTTCCTGAGATACGGGGGGGGGTCGTTGTCCACGTCTCATTGCTGACTGGAGCTTCTGACTGGATTGCGACCCCGATTTGACGACGAGAGACCGGCGATGAGTCAAAAGGATCCAGGGTCTGCAGGTCGCATCGCGGACTTCGCTTCCCCTCTTGATCGCCAGCGGAAATTGCTCTGGTTAGCAATCGTTATAAATTAGTGTCCCTCACCCATGAGGTCGGACGTTACCATGTTAGCTAATTGGAAAACGGCCCTGATGCAGGCTCACCGAAGCAGTATCCTCAGCTCATTTGCTCCCTGTGATTGCCAAGAGCTCCAGCATAGTGCAGTTAGTGAGGTGCGCAAAGACCCATACAGCCTCCACCGGATGAGTTGATCAATCATCATACTGCAGTAGTTCTTGGCGGTCAATGCTTGATTGATTGACTAGCACCCTTAGTGCCTACATAGTATGGGTTTGTGCCGTGGTAGTACGGCACGAGCAGTCGTTCTGACTAACAATCATTGCCTTATAGGGATACATCGGGTCGGAAACCGGATAATTCTCCCTGACACCGGATTGTTCGACGAGTGTTCGTGTCCCTTTTAGGGCCAGAGTTTTTCATCACGGTTCCCACTTCGACCACTTTTCTTGTCACATAGTAATATTTCTAAGCAAATTCACCCCCTTGGCGGCTCTGACGGAGCGGGAGCGCCCGGATCAGGCAATTCTTCCCGGTCTCGGACTTTCATCCGAGCATCCGATTCCGTTCTTGGCCCTTTTTCTGGTCTTTCCAATAAAGCCGTATATCCGCTGACATAAGTTTCGATCCTTCTGGGCAAATTGCGAAAAAAGTACGTTGGGGAAAGTCTCGGAGACTTTTTTTTGTTTTGCGCTCTTGGGAAGGGGTGGAAAAGGGGACACTTGGTTCTGCTATCAGATTGGAGGAACTATGAGTAAAATGGAACACGTCAAACATCCCATGTCCTCCCAACGGTCCAATCCAAAGATGTCCTGGGTGTGCACCTGCCGCTGGGACGATCACGATATCATTTCCCGTTTCTAGCGCGCGAGCCGGACGATCGAGTGCGACATTTCCTGGCAGTTGCTTCGTTCGATTTGCTAAATCAAGCATGGATTTTCGGCCCAGACGAGGACAGTGCTCGTACACTGAACGGCCACGTCATTTATCAAAACCGTTTGTAACCGCTAGGGCGTGGTCCGATCCATACCTAGAGCTATTTCGCGCACTGATTAAATGTGTCCGAACTGTAAGTTGGTCCACTTTAGCCTGGCTTAGTGGTCTTTCGGCTTATCTGATGCACTGTTCACCGGTCAATTTCCCTTTTAATGCCGAAGAGGTCTTTTGGATAGAGACCACGTGATCTGATCTAGGGCTAACTTGCATTCATACTCGGTTCTCCTAGTTTCTGCAGGATATCTGTCCATCTCGTAAAGGTGTTATGCATTTCCGGAGACCTTCAATAGCAGAAAGGGTCGAATAACTATATAGACGACGTCCAAATAAGCTTATCTTTAAAGCCTGCCTCCGTTGGATCACGTACAGCTTGCTTCCTCCATACAGAATCGAGTGTTTTGGCTCCACTCCAACTAGGCAGCAAGATGAGTGTCCGGGGAGAGATGGGCTGTCGGGGTGGCGATGTGAACAGTCTCTCCAATCATGGAGGCTGCTTGCTGCGCGGTGACAAGGGCTTAGTTAATATTGATGTGACCCACGAAGGAGGTACCGGTACTTGTCCAGACGTTGTAGATCTGGGCTATTCGGATGTACCCATCGTAGAAGCCTGGGCTGAGCTTCCCGTGTGGCCGGAGCATGTCAGTTCATCTGTCGAGGAGGGCTTTTGGATTGGTCCGGACTCGCATCCGTCGGTTGACGGTGATGCTCTTGACCAGTGTGCCCTTTCTAGTGGCTGTGGCAGGCGCTGACTCCTCAACTCCACCTGCAGCATGCTTCTCTGCTGCTGGCTCGTTGAGCGGTCGACTGATTCATATTATATAATCTGCAAATCTTGCACATTTCGTGTGGCGGTCTTTGTACCTTGCTTTCCGGGAGAGATCATCTGCCATTCTAGCTCGACTGTCTGGCAAACTGTAACACATCCCCATGTAGGATAATTAGCTGTGTAGTAAATTTGCTTTTCTGAGAGATTTGCCTGGATTTGAAGAGGATTATTTGCTAATGAGCTGTTGGGAAGGTATCGTGGAGATCGTTTATACGCTGGGTATTGAATGTATAAGAGGTGGGGAATCCCCACCTAAGTAGGTGATTTGTAGCCTTCCTCGTGCAAGGAGATATGGATACTAAATTATAATTTGGATACAACTTACCCCTTACCATAATGAATGCATGATGTAAAACAAACGATATCCGGAGGATGCTATACCTCGCCACATGTGACCGCACATCATCTGACCAGGAGATTCCATATGGCCCGCCATGTGACCTCCTTGACATTATACAATGAGCAGCCCAGTCTTTTTCATAACATATTCCATCAAGCTCTATGTACATCGATTAAAGCACCAGGCTTTGAAAAGTTCATGATCTTCTCTCCCGAAATCGACAGCATGGCTCCCCACAAAGACAAATCTTGTTCAATTGCTTCCAATAATGATCTGAATAATCAACGGTGATCTCACTTCCCGCCGTCACTCCTCGCGAAACGACAATTATGCGTTCCTTTCCCCGCCAGTAGAATCGCTGAAACTGACTGTTTGGACGACAGGAGTGGTTGATGAACCGCGTGAAATTGCCCATCTGCCCTTGGAAGATCTGGTACGTTCTCGTGCGTGTGCCACCTAGCATTACGTCGACGCCCTCGATGCCTTTAGTGATGAGACCCGTGAATTCACCGATGGCGATGCCACGGTCGAAGTTCTGCTCGTTGTTGGTTAAGATAATGTAGGCTGTGATTGATCTAAGAAGGCAAAACTTACACTGCGAGCTATGACCCCGTTGTTCTTCCCGCTGGTTGTATGGAACAGCTGTACTGGTACCGGGTTTCGCACGCCCCCAAACAGTGTAGGGAAACATGAGCAATGATTCTTCTCGATCTCATCAGACTGCCTCTCTTTGCACACCAAACACACACCCGGATCTATTTCCGGAACCCGGCGAGGGTCCTCTGTGCCAAAAGCAGCAGTGTCAAGCACGCACTCATCGATAAACCGGTAGTGGAAGCCACTTGGTAGCTGAAGATGCTCATATGTTGAAGTTAAGGGCACCGCTGGTCTTCCTGTTACTGTTACCCATTCGTGTGAGTGGCCATGGTACTGCCGTGTCTCCTGTTGTCCAATCACTTGGAGAAGATCCCTCCAGTCTGGATGCAGCGTATCGGCGGCGACCTCCAGACTAGATCGGATATGCCGGAGGCGCGTGGAGAACCCCTCTCCAAAACCAGTACGGTATTTGCAGAATCGGTATACACCGGCGCTTGCAAATATCAAACTGGCCCAGCCACCGGCGTCTTTGATTTCCTTGTATCCGCGCCAGATAGCACTGAATCAAAAACGGTTAGCCTGGCGATTCATAGTTCAAGAAGGTATATCGCATACATTCGGTTCCGCAGATCCTTTTCTTTCCAGCTGAGAACCGCACATGCCTCCCTCAAGCCCATCATACGGATTTCCATAGCCGACAGGTTAGGGTTTTCTAAGCGAAGAACAGCGATACGAGCTTCGTAACATTCAATCCAGTAGGCTTGCACTATCATCTCAAGCGCGCGCGAGGACTGACTTTGGTTATAGTATTTCAAGCATAGGGTATTGACTGCCCGGAATACCTGGTGATGATTAGTTATCCCAGGTCTTGCTACTAGTTCACATCGGGGGGCACGAGGTGAAGCTCTGTGTTTCACATAAATAATTTCACAGTATAACATACCTCTCCACTAACGCCAGTTCTGATGTCTATGCCGGGCTCTATGACCTAAGTTCGTTAGTTGACAGTCATTATTTCACGCTGGGAAGTCATACTGAATGGAATCGGCTCAGCTGGACAGGTGAAAACACTTGTCTCCAGATACCCGCGATGAGTTTGTCGGTTGACGTTGGTTCTAAGACTGGGGCAGATGTATCTTTGCTTGGGTTTTTGCGTTGAGGAAACCTAGTGTCACTATGTACCTGGCGAACGGACGACTTTTGAGCATCGTCAGTTATCTCATTTGAATCTGGTGTTGTATAGCCGTCGATCTGAGATTCAGTCCCTGTAATGGCAGCCTCCTGGTTATGCGGAGCCAGGCGAAGACCGCTGACGGTCTTTCTTCTCTTGAGGGGACGTGGGCCATGGTCATCTCTAATGACTTCTGGAGCAGCTGTGCGATCTCGCTTATCGTACCATATGGGAAGTTAACCTTCTACCGGAGATATCACATATGGAGGGCATCATCTTACAATTGTCTCTGAGACATCTGGAGTCAACTGCGTCAACGGTACAACACGCTCATTGTTTAGGTCAACGCAACCCTGACCAGTTAGCACATGCTGCAGCATTAATCTGATCCAGCAAGACCAACCAAAATCCAAGAGCTATCCCGGGATACACATGGTGAACCGGAAAAAAGCGAAGCCTCAATACGAAGAAAAATGCTACTATTATTTTGCTCCTGTTGAGAGGATTCCTTGAGATCCAACTCTTTCCTCAGCCTGCGCTTGGACGCTTCAATCGCAGATGTCAGCTGCGCGGGGAAGTTTGGGTTTTGGAGAAGGCTACACAGCTGAGATACTAAAGAGAATGAGGATGAGGGCTCCATGTCGACAGTAGACCCTCTCTAGATGGAGTACTCAACACAACGAACCCTTGTATATACATACACTCTTCAGGCGCCAAGACAACGTGTGAAAAATTCTGCCTGGGCAGAATTGCTGACTTATCAACGTTTCATTAACTAGCATGACGTCATGTAGCCATCAGCAATACTAATCATCCGGGGAGAGAATCAATATGAGCATGGTACAATTGCGACTGTATATGGCTCTACTGGATATGGGTGTCGATATGTAGTTATCATCTGTGGTAGTCTGTATAAGCGTGGTGGCAATAACTGAGCCCTGCAGCTTTGCTGCCTCATACGTTTGAAAGATTATCTACTAAGTGTAATGCCGGATTGGAATAGTCACGTAGCTTTTACTCAATGACCAAGGCACTGGGCAGGGAATTATCACAGATGCAGATTTCTAAAGAAGGGCACAGAAATTCCCTCAATATGACCACGCCGCATGCAACATAGCATCGACCATGTCCACATAGATCTGACGAGAGAAGTGCTTTGAGCACATTACATTGCTCTTGCTAGAATTACCATACGGAGGAGTCCTGGGACGAAGAAAGTAGGAACAGTACTTGAATGGTATCGCTCGAAACGCTTCTAAATACATATATATATACACTGCTGGACTTCCTATAATATAAACAGACTTTTGGCCGTTATGACATTGACTTTAGCTCCGCCGAATCGGATAGGGTATGGGGCACGTGTTTCTGCTCGCTGTGGTTAAGGGTTGGACACACATGTCGATCACCACGGTGGAACACATTGTGGTGGTATGTTGTAGTCTGTGACTCCGTAGTGCGTCTCGTCGGTATTTCCCTACGATGGTCATCTCGACCCGATCGACGGAGCCATCCGTGGTGTCGGATGTTGCTGGTAAGAATAGATAGTATCAATCCAAGTGCTACACCGAGCTATGTTTGCTTCTTATAGCCATTCGGGTGCCTTGCACGGGTGATCTTCCCGATCCTTCTCGATCCTATCCAAGATCCACCCGGATTTATACGATCCCTTATCACCTTCAGGATCTTTCTGGTATCCCAGCCGATAGGAGAAGGAAAATCCACAGGTCTGATCGTGGTAAAGGAACTGGAAGCACTTGGAATGCTCCTTGCACGCTTTCTGGCATTGCTCAAAGGAGCTATACGCTTCCTTCTCGACGGGGGTCATCTCCGAGGGCGACTTCTGTCTCTGCCCTTCGACGCCGGCGCCCGGAACATCAAGTCATCAGAGAGATTGTACCAATTGTCGCGCTCCGAGGGAAGCGCGCGACCCATGAAATAGTCATACAGTTCACTAATAAGGAGCGGGTCCTACTTGTCGTTAGCCATCGCCACTGACTACTGACAGCAATGAACAAACACGTACCTGCGGGTGTTTACGACGCTGCTCGTAATTCCACATCTCATTGACATCCACCGGCGTAACACTGTGCATAGTAATCAAGGGCTGACACCCATGTCGGATCCCGAATCCGGGCCAGGCCCAAAAGGCAGCGTATTCTGCTTCTCGCCCTGCATCATGGGCCATTTATTAGTCAGCTCGACGCCCTTTTCCTTGAGCGCCTTCATAAGCACATAATCGCCGTAGATCTCATCGTGCATGTGCTCATCATATCGTGCAGCCAGATCCGCGTCTCCGTATAAGACGCGCTTCATCGCTTCGCGCGACAGGATCACGCCGCTTCCTCCGTGAGCGAACTTCTGGGTTTGGAACGTGGCCGCCGAGCCCAGATAGAGCGGCTTGGCAGGGTCCATCCGCGCCAGCCACTGCACGAGATTGCCCCAGAAGAGATACGTGTCGGCCTCGACGAACACATACCAGTCGTGGCCGGGCCGTCGCTCCCAGGTCTGCACCAGCATGTGGATGAACTTGTACTTGTCCAGGTCCCAGGCGGCCTGGCGGGAGGTCCGGAGTTGCCGGATGTCCCGGCCCGCGGACAAGTACTCTTTGATGGTGCGATAGTAGGCGAAATCGGGATGCGTGGCCTTCAGCGTTTCGTTGACGTTCGCCAGCACGTCGTAGACATGGTAGGCCCCGATGTCTTGCTCAGAGTCGGCGAAAATCAGCGGGTCTTGGCAGCATCGCAAGGCTGTGAGGAGTTGCGTGGGGAGCTTATCATAGATGATGTTCGACCCCGTCTTAACCACCACCTGAATGTGGGAGGTGTCGGGGAGTCCGCTGCATCGGACATCATTGGGGTTCCATGTGGAGGACGAATTGTGCGTGGGAGATGTGGTTTGAGGGGACGAACTGTGGAGAATTCGGGTCTGTGGGGGGTGCACGAAGACAAGCAAAATAAGAATGGTTGACAGCAGAATGGCTGTGCCGCCCAGGATGCGACCTGAACATATGAACCGGGTCATGATAGGATTCGGGCAGGGATGAGAGGAAAATTCTTTGTCTGCATTGACAACGAAACGGGAAAGGAATTTAAATACATAAACAGATCCGCGTATCTGTTTTCCTTTTTGTTTTTTTTTTGTGTCTTTTTTTGGTGGGTGGGCTGAAGATGAATGGATTCTGGCAGTCAAGCACTAACGTTCTTAATTTAGTATGACGAATGAGACATCGTATTTAGCGTTCCCACTCGACGTCACGACAACTGAGACCCTGGTGGCCCTGCCAAGACGTTAGACAAGTGTGCCCGTCCATGGAAATCGGGTTGACTCTCGTCTTCCTTTCACTAAAAGTAAGTAAGTAAGTAAGTAGTACCCTCTCGGTAGTTGCCAGATCTGCGGCGAACCCATGCGCCCTGCCGTTTCGTCTGTCTTGGTTGTTACTAGTTAGGGTTACTCTCAGTCATGAAGAACCACGCTTTTGCCAGCAACAAAATGGGCGCAACAGATTTGAGTATGATTTGATTATCGCTAATTCCTCGTTCTTCTCTTGCATCTCCATCGCTATCGTTCATGAGCGGTGCATCGTGTACAATCTCGAGAACCACTGATCCGTCCCCGGAGCCCTAATTCCAAGACAGCCTCTCCCCCCGCGGGACGGCCATGGCCCCCAAGTCACTCTGCCCGTCAGGCGTCCTATCCTTCCTGCCCGTCTACTCCCAATACTACCTTAGTATCCCACTACCTCCCGACAAGAAGAACCTAACCGAGTCAAATGTCTTTTATCTCGACATCTACCCGGGTGAGAACACTCGGCCAACGGCTAGTAGCCGTTGGTTCAATCTCAGTGATCCGTCTACTTCTACTTCGGCTTTAACTTCTCATACAGCCACACCTAGAGGGATCTCGGGCTCTTCATCTGGTCCAACGGAACCTATCAAAACAGGTATCCTGACGACACCAGATTCCTCGAGAGCGGGATCAGACTCCCTTGACACCGGAGCGAAAGTAGCCCCCTAGGTCTCGGTATCCCGCTGGTCGTCACTGTCGGGGTTCTTGCCGGGGTCTTGGTCGCTCGACGGTTTAGGCAAGAGAAGGTACTAGAAAGTTCAATCGTAAGGTACCAGGTACCCATTGACAAGAGCTCTCGTGCGTGGCAGGTCCATGAGTGCTAGAAAATGCAGCTCGTAAGCCAGAGCCGATGGGCATGTCCACCGACAGCCATTGAGCAAGGGTTTGATATAGAAGGCTTCATGTGCTGGGTTATTTCATACGATATACGATGTATGGAGTTACGACTTTAGAGGAAGATGATTAATATTTATTGTGTATATTTATTTAGGGCTATATACCCGAATAACAATTCAGTGTGGGGATTGTAGGTTTTGTAGGCACTTTGAAATTATTGACTAGAGTACTTGTTCTGCTTTTTTTTTTCTCTCTCTCTCCTGGAGTAGATTATTCTTTGTCTAGCTCTTGGATCTATATGAACACTGCAGCTTATCTATATCCTAACATAGTTTTTGCTAGATAGAACTTTCCCAGAACTAGTTACAGCTACGTTATGTGTCACGGCCCAGCGCCAAACAGCTTTTGTACTGATTTGGACCCGAACGCAATCTTCTTTTAAAATTTATAATCTATTTCTTGTATAAACTCTGTATGAAAGTACCAAGATCGTCCTAATTTAGAACCATCTATATGCAGTAAAATGGGATCTAATGGGTCTAAAAATGGGTAGTAGAATGGGTCCAAAAAATAGGTTTTGCCAAAAGTCCAATATTATCTGTAATAAGGAACAGTGGTTCTGTTCGTGTCTGGCTGAAGTACAATTTCAAAAGGCTAGTAGTATATTACTGACTTTTCACTTGCTATGCCACTCTAACATCCTCCCAAGTTGCGCCACGTCGCGCTGCGTAAATTACATTTTGTACAATCTCTCTCGTCTCTCACTGTTTCCCCCCACCATCCACTGTGAAGCGTCATTAAGGGCAGGATGGGACTGGACTACCTCAGTGGTAGTGGTCGCAACCGCTGAGATCACGACGAGCGACCAGCTCGCGCGGGCCCAGCCACGACGAGTCCTCCTGTGCGGCCTTCTGCAGCCGCTCGGTGACGGCGTCCATGTCGAGGTCGAGGACCGCTTCAATGTAGCGAGGCAGCTCAGTGTTATCCCAGCCTCCGGCAAGGTCGGCTTGCAGGGCGCGGCGCTTCTGGCCAGCGGCGTAACCATGCAGGGTGACGTCGACGGAGGTGTGGCCGCCGGTGGACCAGTCGACGCCGGCGCGAGAGGACAGAAGGGCGGCGATGCCGGTGCCGATACTGGACGCGTCGAGGATGGCTTGGATTTCCTCATCGGTGACGGTCTCGAGTCCATAAGCCGGGAGGATCTCGGAGACGAGGAAGTCCCGCTCGTTGGCGTCAGCTGGGCGCTCGTTGTCCCAAACGGACTGGAGGTAGGCGCGCGAGTGTGTGGCATTGCGCAGCGGGAGCGGGTCGTAGCCGTTCAGGGTTAGGCCGCCGGTTTCGTGGTCGGCGGCGGACAGCATGATGGTGTCTGGGTGGCGGTCGATCCAGTCGCGCACCCAGGCGACCACGTTGTTGTACATGACGGTCTCGACGGCGTGGTTGGCCGGGTCACTGTCGTGTCCGGCGTGGTCGATTCGCGCGGCCTCGATCATGAGGAAGAAGCCCTTCTGCCGGCGGCGGGTCGCGCGGTGCAGGGCGTTCACGGCTGTCTCGGCCATCTCGAGCAAGGAGGGTTCATCCTGGATGATGCGGCGGTCCATCTCGTAGCGCATGCTTTCTGCGATTCGTTAGCTTTGCGCTCGTCTTTTCCTGCGTCGGGAGGATTCGATCGACTTGCCTTCGCTGAAAAGACCTAGATATGGCAGATCTGCCCGACCCTGGCCCTTCTGAAGAGCATTGAACTCCTCGCGGTTCGTGGCGACAGTGAAGCCCTGCTCCTCCGCGTAGGTCAATAGGTCGAAATCATCCGAACGGCAGGATCCCTCAGTGGTGTTTGGCGAGAAGTTGCAACGGCCGCCACCGAGAAGAAGGTCGACCATGGGGCCAAGTGGATGGCTGTAGCCGAGCTGTTGCTCTGCGATCAGGGGCATAGAGGCACGGTTGGCGGCGTGGGCGGCATAGACTACGGCGGGGGGAGGTGAGCATTGTTTGCGGGGGTTTAGGGCTGGGTGGGAAAAGGTGTATCTTACCTGCAGGGGTGGCATCACTGATGTATGTGGTGGATACGAGACCAGTCTTCAAGCCTCCGAGCTTAGCGGCCTCGAGGATAGAACCCACAGGCTGGCCATCGGGTGTGACAGAGATGGCACCGTTGTAGGACTTGTGGCCGGCCGCATACGCGGTCCCAGAAGCAGCCGAGTCGGTGATCATTTTGTTGGCGGAGTGGGTGCGGACACGTCCGATGGCCTGGGAGAGAACTTAGCACCGAATTACAATCGTCATCCCATCATCCCCGGGTCAGGGCTAGAGCCGACTCACCAGGTCGTCCACTGCAAGCTCATTGATCTGCGGGTTGCTGCCAGTCGTGCCACTATTAACCAGAGACACCAGGTCACGGGCCATGTTCTGCGACGCAGGCCCGTAGCCATCAGGAACGATATAAATAACGTTCTTTGCCTGGACAGAAGCTGCAACTGCAGTCTGGACAAGGGCGGCGCCCGCGGTGATGGCAGTGCGGATATGCATCTTGAGAGACGTTGCCTCAAAAACAGTCGAGTTTAACGGATTGCTTAATCCCCAGTCGTTCAGGTGCGCAGGGTGCAGCTTTTATAGATCTTTCTACCAACTTCCGGATGTGCCGGTCCCTGAATACCTCTAGCCCTTCGTTATCAAAAAACAATGGTCAGTTTAATTCAAACGAGTGCATCTCGCTCCACGCTCCCCAATTGGGATCAGCTGTCAAACAACGTGCCGGGGGGTGCTGAGATTTGGGGCATCTTGGCTATCTGGGGTTATCACAGTTCCAGATGAAGCCTGTGTCCACGTTCTTCAGATAACAGCAGCATAGGATTGTACCGGCGAGTGAAGCGAGAGGGTAAGCGACTCAAAGGTGGATCGTGTCTAATGGGTTCTTGAATCAGAAGAGGCCAGTTTCCCACGTTCTCATCGGGCCAAGAAATAGCTCATTCAGATGCTCGAAAGCTCCGCGACAGCGGCGCTTGGCTTCGTGTGGAGTAATTTCCCATCGGCTTGGCCACTCCATCAGGCTCGGCTCATATGGATGATCAAATTCGTGGGGTGGGAGGATGTCATTAATGGAGAATGTGAAGTAGACCTGCTTTATACTCCCCCGTTTTGTTTTTTTTTTTTAAACTTAAAGTATGTACATACATACATTCAGTGCACACGACGCCTCAACGCTCAATTCTTGGAGAGTAATAACGTCGAACAGCAATAGCAACATCAATTCTAGAAGAATAGAAATATTCACTCTCTAGCATTGGAGTTGAGAACATTCTTTTCCTTCTATATGCTGCGGATGCTTCACAATAATTCCTTATAGAATATCATGGCAGACCTGGAGTAAATACTCCAGAACTCACCCTTTCCCAATCTCATACTATTCCTTCCACCAACTACAGCTTCTCGTCACTTCGTATCTTTGTTATTGTTTAGGGTTCACGCCGAAGGAGAGCACAACGGTACAATGTGGTCCAGCTTATGCGACTTTCTATTGCGCAGTCGACAGACTACGTTCAGTCACTGCATAACCATTACATATTAATCAAATACAGCCCTATTGATTCACGCATACCCGCGGTATGACTCAAGGACAGAATTTCACTGTAGGGTACATTGAATAACTGGTAGAATATGGCCAGCTTGTCCTATTAACAAGTGCATATGCCTAACCTTATAAATCCACCCCCCGATCCGTCCCTCCGTATCTCCCGCCTTTCTCTTTCTACCTTCCATCATTCAGCTCCATGTTGGACATGCGACCTATTTTACGGGGGGGGGGGGGGGGGGGGTTTAAAAAAAAAGAATCTTTGATGCTTGAGAATACGCCAAGGGCAAAGTCCGCCTGGACAGTATCTCAAAACCAATATTTATTATGGCTAGACGCTCAAATTCCAAATACTTCTGTGTCTACCGTCAATTCTAAGTCCTTCGTTAGGCCCTGAGCAGTCTGCCACTGCGCTACGCTACGAATGCTTGCTGCCCATAGCCCTAATCACATGGAGCACTGTTCTGTTTCTGCTTGTGTAGTATTCCAGGGCTACCAGCCTTGTTGAAGACCACAGCCATCTACGATCTTCTCATACTATCCACACACACCAGAGCCTGTCGAAATTGGCCTATATCTATCCTTATAGCATGATGAGCAAGCCGAAGACGGCACAATACCTGTTTTGGCGGAAGTTCGAGCCCTTTTGGCGCCCGGAAGAATACGGTCATGGGGCCCCAAGGGGAACTGAGAAACTGGGGAATATTATGTCTCTCGCACGGCTTATGGGGTAAAGCTCCGCTTTGCCCTACTGCGACTTCAGTGATCGGTCGATCGTACAGTGTTGACAGTTCGGTTTTCCTGGATCCCTGTATCAAACTATATGAAGACAATGGATCCTACGACAGCAACCATTTCTCCCGCCGAATCTTGGACATACAGGGAAACGAATCAAGCGTTTCCATTGCGAGTCAGAAAAGCCAATCTGTTTAGGTGATATGATAACAATGAAGACAAGTGATCTCGATAAATATCCTCTTCCATCTGTCGAACTGTCGGAGATGCACTGGTTCTTAACTCGAGCATTAGGTTTGAGCGGTGCCGCCGATATTGATGGGGAGGATTGGGACAGTGACTCTGAGGTCGAGCATACAACCTTCAGGAAAACCAGCACCCCTCAAGGGCCTCGAGTAGAATCTCTGGCAAAGCAACGCCCAGGCTCGCGTGATACATCTCGCAGCTTCAGAGGTTAGTGGCTGTTGCATTCTTGTCTGTTTCATTTTGGAAATTTTATATACTCTCCGTACATATCCCGGGTAGAAATGTGTGCTTTTGTGGAGGAATATTTTTGGGGCCAACCACCGGGAACCCCCTTCTCGAATATCCAGGTTTGGCGTTACTTGGCCAAAACAAAACAGGAGAATAGAAAATATCGAATAGAGCAATGGCATTACTAGACTAAGCTAAGGCACGTATACGTATGTGACTGTCAAGGGATAAAGCTCGATGCTATGACAGTCTTCCAATAATGATTATACTGGCGCTATCTTATGTAGAATTCTAAATATAAAGAAGAAGAAGAAGAAGAAGAAGAAGAAGAAGAAGAAGAAGAAGAAGAAGAAAGACATATTATAGTATCTTTTTTGTTGAGATAGAGTAGCCTAAACATACCAAGTGTTGGTATGTTTTGGGCGTTGTTGCAATACTTTTGACCCGGTATTTTATATATTCTTTCTTGGATGGTCATGTGGCTAGAACCTCACAACGGCACAATCGACAATTGCCTCATGCATGGGAGTTCATTAGATAATACATGAGCAGGAGCGCACGTTTGGCGGAAGACAAGGGGCATCCGACCTCAGCTACAGGATTTAATCCTTGGCAATATATGAAGGAGAGCGCTGCATGGGGAGAGGATACGTGAAGGCCTCGGCCCTGTCAATTATGCTCGCCTCGGAATTGGCCTGGATAGGATTAGCAGCTGAGTTAGTACTACTAGTACTACTACTAGTAGTACTACAGTAGCTGAGGGGAAAAAAAGGGACGAGTAGAAGTCATGGGAGTCAACTATGGCTGGGACGCTTTCGGGGAGGTAGTGCAACCATGCGGCATTTGTTTGGGCAACAACAACAACAGCTGCGACGACTCCAGCGAAACCCCCCTCCCCCCTCCCTTCTTGTTTTCACTTCTCTTTTCTTTTACCCTTTCTAAAATACCAAAAAAATAGCAGTTCGTCATTCATTATTTCATTCTCATCATGATATATCTGTTATCCACGTTGAGCCATGAATCAGCTTGGTGGTTTTTACAACAGTAATCGAATCAGAGCAGTATAAAACCGGCATCCCTTCTCAAGTCCAACCATCCATCTCGATCTTTTTTGGAGCGAGAGAACCCTACTCTCGGTTCATCCCCACGCTCAACAGACGATCGGTCGTCTTGCGTCGGCTGGTGCCCACGCGCAGCATGGGGGCGAGGTAGGGGTCTGGGTGACTATGTGAGGTAGTCAGTGGCCCTTCTTCTTCCGTGGGCCCCCCATCTTCTCCCTTTCTCTTCGACCCCTCTTTAGTTCTCAACGCCGACCTTGACCTTCTTCTCCGGAGGAGGGATCACCTGGTCCTCGGCGGCACCCTTCAGGGTGGGAAGCTCCGCGACAGCTCCGCGATGATCTCGAGGGACTTCTTGATCTCACCATCGGTGATTACGAGGGGCGGAGCGAGACGGATGATATTCTCGTGGGTTGGCTTGGCCTGAAGGGGCGAGATATTAGCACCATCCACATGAACAGCTGGAATATTCGAAGTACTACTTACCAACAAACCCTTTTCCTTCATCAACATACAGAGATCCCACGCAGAGTGTCCATTGGTCTTCGATTCGTCAATAACAATGGCATTGAGCAGACCCTTGCCACGGACGGTCTGGATTATGGGGCTCTTGATGGCCTTCAGACCATCGCGGAAGACGTGACCGAGCTTCTCGGCCCGCTCAACCATCTTCTCCTCCTGGACGACTTCCAGGGCCCGGATGGCCACCGCACAGCCCAAGGGGTTACCACCGTAAGTCGATCCGTGAGTACCAGGTTCGATGGTGAGCATAACATCCTTCCGGCCCAAAACACACGAGACGGGATACATGCCGCCGGAGATAGCCTTGCCCAGCAGTACCAGATCGGGCTTAATGCCGCTCCATTCGTGGCAGAGAAGCTTACCCGTGCGGGCAATACCGGTCTGGATCTCATCGCAGATCAGGAGGACATTGTACTTATCGCACAGGGCTCTCGCCTCCTGCAGGTAGTCTTCATCCGGAACAACGATGCCGGCCTCACCCTGGATGGGTTCGACCAAGAAGGCCGCCAGGTTGGGGCCCGCTTTCTCAAAGGCCTCCCGCAGAGCAGCCTTGTCGTTGTATGCGATGGGCTTGTCGGTGCCGGGAATGTTGCACCCGATACCGGGCAGGTAAGGGCCATAGTTCTCACGCGACTCGGGGTCAGATGACAGGGAGATGGCAGCAAACTAAATGGGAAACGGACCAGTCAGCTGACTGAGTCTCTCACGACAGTTCCTCGACACAGCACTTACCGTACGACCGTGGAAGTTGTTCTCCGCACTCAGGACGACCGCCTGGTTCTCCGGAATCCCCTTGACCTTGTATCCCCACTTCCGAGCGATCTTAATACCGGTCTCAACAGCCTCTGCACCTGTGTTCATGGGCAGAACCATATCGAAGCCGAAGTATTGAGTGACAAACTGGGCGAAGCGTGGGAAGACATCGTTATAGAAGGCACGAGAGCTCAGAGTGACCCGGGACGCCTGTTCCACGAGAGCGGCCACCAGTTTCGGGTGGCAGTGGCCTTGGTTGACCGCAGAGTATGCGGACAGGAAGTCCAGATAGTGACGACCCTCGGGGTCCCAGACCGAGGTGCCCTGAGCCCGAGCGAAGACGACGGGGAGAGGATGATAGTTGTGAGCGGCATAATCATTCTCGGCTTGAATCGCCTCTTGGGTAGAGGCGGCGTGGTAGGCACTGGCGCCGTTGCTTACACTGTGACCATTGGCCTTGGATGTGCCGTTTGTGCCGTTGACCGCCATGTTAGGCAGGAAGGAATCTATTCAGGGAGAAACAACGGTGGGGGATTGTGTTTATGGTGGGATACGGAAGGGGATTGGGGGTTGATTAAGATCGGATCTGATATGAGGGCGGAAGAGGGAAAGCAAGGGCTCGAGAGCGAGGACGAGCGGGTTTAAATAGAGAAACAAAGAATTCATTCACGAGACGCCTTGGTGGGCAGGAGCCAAGCGAGCCAGAGAATTCACCGAGATATCAAGTAAAAAAAAAGGCATAGTGGAAAGGCTATACCTCTAAGTGCAGGTGCAGCCAGGCGTGATTCCCCTAAGTGCAGGTGTATCAGCGTCTCATACCCCTATGCGCAGGTTTAGCCGCGACCTCCATAGCCTATGATGCAAATCGTCCCATGGCTCTTGCGCGATCCACTCTTTTCGGCGCTCTCCCACTCACAATTCGTTCATTACGAGTCGTCGTCCTGCTTCCGCCTTTCCGTTCCCGGTTAAGACCCTGTCCGCCGCTTTCCCTCTCCAGTTTTCCGATCTAAGTTAGCCGTTAGAACGTCGCTGTCCTTATCTCCTTACTAGTAGCCTTATCCTCCTGGATTGGTTCCTGGTAAGGGGTTCCACCACTGCAACCATGTCAACTTCGTCACGACGGCGGAGATCGCCTTTAGAACGCTCGTCGTCCCGATCGTCTTCCTCCGCGTCATTGTCGTCCTCGTCTTATGCGTCGTGGGCATCAACAACGTCTCCGCCTTCTCGCCTGAGGCCACCACCCCCCCCAACATCAACATCAACATCAACATCAACGTCGTCACCACCACCAACACGAGCACACACAACGACCGTATCGACCTCTCACGTCTTCCTCTTCCTCGTCGCCTTCCGTCTCCTCAACGCCTTGTCCCTTCGCACCTTCTTTCAACCCGATGAGTTCTTTCAATCGCTTGAACCGGCGTGGCAGACTGCGTTCGGCGAAACCCACGGGGCATGGATAACATGGGTCAGTCAAACAATTGGCGCATCGACACAGGTCTCTGCGGAATGAAACTAACTGGTGTTGATTGTATATCATCCTGCAGGAATGGCGACACCATCTGCGATCTTCCATTCATCCTCTGTTATTTGCTACGGTTTATTCCATCGCCGACCTTGCCGCGCGCGCTCTTCGCCTCTCCCCCGCATTCCGTGCTGATCTCCTCATTGTCGCCCCGAAATCGGCGCAAGCCGTTCTCTCTGCCATTGGAGATTTGTATACGTGGAAGTTAGCCCGTTATGTGTACGGACGTCGCAGCCATGAAGCCTGGGCCGCGGTATGTTCGAGCCCGCCCGATGTAGAGTATCCGGGGACTGATCGAGATCATAGCTTGCCTTGACCGTCCTCAGCCCCTGGCAATGGTTCTGTTCGACACGGACTTTGTCCAATTGCCTCGAAACCACAATTACGATTGTCGCGCTCAATCTATGGCCATGGGAATGGTCGTCAGACTCCACGCCAACAGTTCAACCGAGGAGGAACACACGCTCCACTACGAGGAATCCGGGGGCAATTGAAACCAGGGATGGTGCGTTTATTGTCAGGTATAATCGGTTCATTCGAAATGGTATGGGTAATCTTGCTGAGAAAATATTTGTTAGGCTGCGCAAGTGTCTTGCTCTTGCTGCGTTTGCGTGTATCTTGCGACCGACAAACATCCTGGTATGGATGGGTTTAGCTGGCGCCGCATGGTTTCGGAGCGCTTGGCGCGAGCGGATGATCCTCTGTCGCGAGGTTTTGCTTTGTGGGTAAGTTAATCGGAGTGCATTTCAAGTCTAATAGCTCACCACTATCCAGTGCCTCGGTTCTCACGGGATCAGTCATTCTGGATCGCCTTTACTACGGACTTTGGACGTTTCCACCACTCAGATTCCTGTACTTCAACATATCCCAATCTCTGGCAGTTTACTATGGAAGGAATGACTGGCACTATTATGCAACCCAAGGCTATCCCCTTCTGCTTACGACCGCACTGCCCTTTGCCCTTGTCGGCCTATATCGTACCCTGAGCCAGTCCCGGTCACCCACAGCAAACACTCGGCACGCGTCGGTGCAAACGCAACTGGCAGCTATCTGTCTCTTCATGCCGCTGGTGCTCTCACTTATTTCCCACAAGGAAGTGCGGTTCATCTACCCATTGCTGCCCTCTCTGCATGTCTTGGCGGCCCCGCCGCTGGTGGACTTCTTTCTCCCGGCTGTCTCTCATTCAAACGGGGCATACATGCCCAGACGACTGTCTCTCGTCTTCGTGTTGCTGGTCAACGTTACCATTGCGATCTACACATCTGTATACCATGCCTCTGGGACCATCAACGTCCTCTCATACCTCCGTGACCAGCAGCAAGCTCACACCACTGTTGACAACTCTCCATACTCGCCCGGTGCTTCCCAGCGGATCACAGCCGGGTTCCTCATGCCCTGCCACAGCACCCCATGGCGCTCCCACCTGGTCGATCCGAACATTCATGCCTGGGCGCTTTCCTGCGAGCCACCTGTCGACTTGAACGAGTCCCAGAAGGCCGTATACGTCGATGAAGCCGACCAGTTCTACAATGATCCCAGCCAATTTCTGCGCGAGAACATGGTTGGCGGACTGCGCCATCTACCTCGAAAGCCCAGCTATCTGACTTCCTCCAAACCTCGGGAAACCAGCCCGCAAGTCTACCAGCAAGCCACCCCGCACGAATGGCCCGACTATCTTATCTTTTTCGCCCCGTTGGAACCCACCCTCCACAGCCTTCTCCGTAGCAGCTCCTACGGCGAGTGTTGGCGCACCTGGAACACCGCCTGGCACGACGACTCTCGTCGCCGAGGCGACATCATCGTCTGGTGCCTCGACCCAACTGAACAAGCCGCCTGGCGATCAGCGACGCGGAAGCGTACCCTCGAGCATCGCGACCGTCAATTCGATCGCATCGTGGAAGCATTCCGGAAGAATGCGCCCGGTCAACGGAAATCCTCCCCCTGGACCCGATGGACCTCATCTCTGTCGGGGCGATCGGCATCCTCATCCTGGTCCTGGCCCTGGGAACAGCGCAGACGGACCTGGCTCGGAATCCAGCTACCGGTCTGGAAGAAGTCCTCATGGAACCTTCCATCATGGACCTGGCCGAAATCTTCCAAGAAAAAGACCAGAGCCGTTGATCGGGATCTCTGGTCTTAAAACTTACCTTCCCCTCCCAATCTACGGTTCTTTGATTCACTTCTTTGAATATATTCTATTTTGCATCAAAGTTTAGATAGATACCTCGCTCAATCTTAGTCAATAATCCAATCCAATTTCATTGGTCCTAAAGTCTATACACGTAACTAGTTCAGCTCTATATGTAGATTTTTAAAGCGATTAGAAAGATGCTATATATCTATCCTATCTATATATATCGAGCCTCCCTAATACCGAAAAGCTCATTGATAGTTAAGTCTCAACTTTCCATCCAATTCCCCTTCAACGCCAGAGATGCACAATAAATGTACTAATACAATCAAAGCACGCCAAAGAAACAAATAAGATATGGATCCAAGTTCAAGCGGTCTGTAGATACAAGACATAGACCGGAATATGTACCGAAAGCTTTTCAATGTGCATACATATCGACACATCTGTATGTGGTGGAGATATGCATGAATATCAATATGTAAGGGTAGATATGTAGATAAGAAGGTATGTATGTACTGATCAAATCAACCATACCGCGCACTCAAACTGGCGAATGCATCGGGACTGTGTCGGCCGTTTTGGAAGGCGTTGATATCCACGCTTTGCTGGCTCATGTGGCCCTGCGGCCTTGGAAAGGCGCCTGGTGCCGCGGGTGGCATGGTGTTGGATTTCATGGGCATGGCGAAGGGGGAAGGGGTGCCGTATTGGG